GGAACCTCGGAGTACTAAAATCCCCCCTATCAATCTTGCTGGTCTGAGAGTTGCACGGAATGAGACATGCAATTGACCTCTATAAACCCTCCAACTGGTGGTTTCCTTTACGGGAATCCCTGGGTTCATTCCATTTCTCATTCCGTACCTATCGCACCAGCAAGCAATGCCACCTTTTTTGCCCTTTTGGTTCCCTTTTTGGCCCATTCGTAATCATGGTCCAAAAGATTGTTTCAAATGTGCTTTGGGCCGCTGGGTGTTTGGAGGTAGTGGATGCCTTATACCACCCATATCAGCTGGTAAGGAAGTATATTCCCCAGAAGTTTGGGTGGTAAGCTCCATGCCTCCAAAAATCCATAGAGCCTCCCGTAGCACCAGCTACTCACGTGTCCAGGCTTCAAGACAGTTTTGTTTCTTGCCGGGGTTCTTCGTTTAGCCTGCAAGCTTCAACTTTATTTTATGCAAAGCAGTCCAATTGCCAGACTCTCACCTATTTGTCTAAGAACTAGATCAGAAAAGGAATATGAAAGAAATGTAAAAAAGAGAAATAGAATGAAAACTCATAAAGAAGGGACAGATATAGATAGAGGTAAGAAATTAATACAAGAAAAAAAAGAAAAATAAACAATAAACATCCACGGCAGTCCTTCGTTTCCGTCTGGTAACTTGCAGTTGGATCCATCTGGCCAAGCAAGCGGCAATTTACCCGAAGGTTTGGTCTGGAAAAATCGTTTCATGGGACCCCCTGAGCTGGAAAGGTTCCTTGAAATGGGAACCTCACGAGTACTACCCTATCAATCTTGCTGCTGCGAGAGGCAGAGAATGAGAAGCGGAAGGAGCTTGATGAATCATCCCCGCCTGGTGGTTTCCTTCATGGGAATTGATTGGGTCATAATTCATTTCTCATTTCCGGCCTAGCGCGGCAAGTCAGAAAACCCCGGTTGGTTCACCCGGGGTCAACGAGTTTTGGGTCAGCCCCTACAAACCAACCCAATGTTTGTAAACCTAATTACTGGGGTATAGGTAACCCAAGAATAATTGGTAACCCTACTAATCAATTCCCCCATTACCCGCCCACAATCCTCTCTCTAGGCAACTCTTGTGGAAGGAACGGGCTTTCTTTGTGCTCCTGACCCCGCGACCGGGCCTTTCCTTTCCGCCAAGCTGGTGAAACCCTGGCACCTCGGATCCCCGTGGCCTGACAGGGGGAGTCAGCAAAAAGTGTAGCGGCCCGCCCGGAACTCAGAAAGCGCTTTGTAAGAATAGCAAGCCATGACATTTAAACCGCTTGACTTCGATGGTGACATTGATTTTTTTTTGAGACTTCTCCTTGGCGCCGGGTATTTGGTGGAAAAAAATGGTGGGGGAAACCGTCCATCGGATCTTGGAATTTGGGCGGAACGAGATCGGATCCGTTCGAATGCGTTGTCGCCGACCTGGGATCGAGGATTCGGGCGTACATCGACTACGTGGCGGGGGCTCTGGTCTTGGTGAACTCCTTCGTGCTGATGCTGCAACTGGAGCTCGAAGGCCGCAACGCGCCTCGATCCCTCGCAGAAACGGCTGGAAATGCACTGGGCCGAAAGGTCCGGATCCTTGACGTGGGACGACCATTGCTTCAAAAGCTACGGAGAAAAAGACGATATGTCAACCACTGAACGGGGAAAGGTACCGATGGTCGTTTGGGAGCCAGGCATATTGATCAACCCCCCAAATATGTGTGTTTTTTGCCAGGGGACTCAAGCAAATGGAGCGCATAGGTTACGAAGAAGACGGGGTGCAGAAAGAGTGCGTCAAAACAGGGGACCCGGCAAATGCCAACTGGTTTTTCCGTTGGCCTACCTCTAACCGTAAAATCAGATCCTCAAAAAAGGCGCCACCTAAGAATTTGTATTTTTCAGGACGAGCTCACCTGACCCGAAGGCAAACGAGCAAACACCCATGGTGTAGGTTCCTTACCTGGCCAGATCTAATTCTCATGTCAGGTTTTGGAACTCTGGTAAAACTGTACTGATCTGCTTCCGGCTTCTATGGGGTGTGCTTCCCCTTGAGTTTCTATTATACCTATTGGCGAGCTTCTGGACTCTGAAAGCGAGACATGATGTTTACCTGCGTGCAAAACACTCCCTTGTTTCGGCTGTTGGATTTATTGTAAGCAATGCCGATGGTTTTTGCCTGAATCCAGGCAACACTTGTGAATTCCGCAGTTGTTCAGTGGATTTGGACTTCCGCGCCACAAATTTCGGTGTTTTCGGGAACCACGAAAGTAGGATACACCCCAAAGATGGAATCACCGCCAAAAACGTGGGTTCCAATGGTTCCAATTCCTTTGCTACAAGGGTCTCGGGCAAGGCATATGAGTCACTGACAACAGTATTCGTGTTCGACTGTTCGGGAAGCACAAGACAGGGGCCAATCCAAAGTTCCAGAAGCCGAGGGACTTCCGAGGGACTTCCTAAGTTTCACACGTCCTTTGAAGTAAGTTATATTGTCTTGCCGGGGAGATTAGGCATCATATCGTTGGCAAGCTTGAAGCGTGCCACAAAATGAGCGGCACCCTTCCAAACGCACCTGCCAGAATTGATGTTTGCCATGGGAGGTTTGTGTGTTCACATCGTCGTTTGCAAAGGCCAAGGTTTTGGGTGAGTTTCCTTTGCCCAAAGGGTCCAAGTGCCTTCTAAGGCGGTACTTAGACCGCCTTTTACCCCCCAAAAGCCATCCTCATGAAGTACTTGGACCCTCTGGGTTGGTGAGCTTTCTGATGGGGGTGATGTGGGAATCCCGCATGCCGATCCTTGGGCCCGATCGCCACCGGTTGGGGATGTTGGGAGGCCCACCCCTTTGGAGAGGTGGGCGTACTCTATCGCGGTCTACCTTTGGGTATAGTGGTTTGTGAATCCTCGATCTGTCAGAGAAAGGGATCACAAGATCAACCCCTTCTGCTCTCATGTGGTTCAGTCGAAATAGCTCTTAGAGTCTATGGCCCATTTCGGACATGAGGGCACCTCGCGACTTTTTTCGCAAAACGGAAGGCGCACGAAACTTTGCAATCTTGCGGTTTTGAACTTGGCTCAAGCTTGTGTATGGTCAAAATCCCCCCTTCGAATTTGGATGGTCATCTCAGGGAGTTTAGACAACCATTGCAAGGGTTCCTACGACCATCATCCACGGAAGCAGTTTGACCGTGGCTGTGGCAAAACGACATTTTGGCCGCTTTTGGGGAGTCTGGGGAGTCTGCTGGCAGACTTGCAGGGCTGGTGGGAGGATGGATTCAGTTTGTCCCGACTGTATCCCACTTCATAGCATGTCGCCTTGTTTTAAGGCCGTTTAAGTGGATTGACAGAATCCCATGTTCCTGTCCTGTGAGGTTGTCCTTTGACCAAACTTTGCCCTGCTGATCAGATTGGCTGAATGGGAGCAACCCTGAGTTTGCAACGTCAGTACATTTTGGGAGGCTAGTTGTGCAAACACTGCACGGTTCTAGCTTTTTTGCACACCTCCCACGGAAATTGAACCTCAACGTCTCAGGGGCTGGACCACAACATGAACATGCGACGGGTGAACGGCACCCTTTGTAAAAGCAGGGCTGCTCCAAGCCTCCACAAGATGACAATCCTCGGGAAGAAACTTGGTTTGGTGTCCTTTCTTTTTCCTTTGCCATGTGTTCAATTTCTATTGCCCACCCTGTGCGGATATGTTTTGTGCGGATATCGACTTCGCACTAGTTGGCAGGGGGTTTTGTACCACTCCAGTCCAGTTTCATCCAATGATCCAGAGCCATGGCAAGGCGAGGAGAATGGCCTTGAATAGCCGCCAAGACTTAGGTTGCAATGGCTCCCCTTGTTGATATAGGAAGTTTTAGATCAAGGGAGCCGCAGCCTATATTGAGTAGTGACTCTTGGCTTCCAAGGACTGACGGTAAGGCTCGCAAGGCCCTGTCAGCATCTCGCTCCCCGAGTTCCTGGACTTCCTACTTTTCGGGCTATTCCACAGTGCAGGTATATCTGGACATTGGACCGGAAGTGAAGTGTGTGGTAAAGGCTAACGGGTGGCTTAATAAACCTCCGGTTGAACAATAGGGAAGGTGTCCCGTTTTAAGGGGGGTTATCACTCTTGGAGGGACCCCCCCCACCCCCTGCAATCCCCCCCACCCCCTGCAATCCCGCCCCACCCCCCCTCCAAACAGGACGGATCTGACACGTTCCGAGAACCGTTCCGAGCGCCGAGGTGGCGTATGAGCTCGGCATCGCAGAGGGCGTCACTCGGAGATGGCGGGAGAAAGGATAGCCATCTCCACTGGTTCTGCTACCTGGGGGCTTTGGGGGGGGGGAGGTTGGGGGGGGGGGAACTCTACTCATTTCAGGTCTTGGAAGGTATTCATCCAAACATTGCAGATGTCTCCATCATTCCGGAAATATCGTTTCTGGTTGTTTTATGGGTTGTGACCACCCCTTGAGCTTTATGACCACCCCTTGAGCTTTATGACCACCCCTTGAGCTTTATGGTTCCCACCCCTTGACGGAAACATGGATGAAACAACCCCTGGAGCTTTCTGGTTGCGACCACCCCGGAAAAACGTCTCCAACCATCCGGCGGATCGGATCGGGCCGTTTTTGCTGCTGTCCGTTTTTTGGTTTTTGGTGTTGGTCGACGAAAAAAAACGAGGGCGAGGCCTGGTGATTACTCTGGTGGTTTTTCATCTACCAGGGATTTTTCTTTTTTTCCCATCTATTTCAACGAAAAGGGCACCTATACTCATCCCTCAAGCTTTAACCATGGGACCGTCCCTGAAGCTCCAACCATCTATGCGAATCCGCTGGCTCGACTCAAGGAGCTCTCAGTGGGATCCCCTGAGCCTCCAATCTACCCATTCGAATCGCCGAATCCGCGAATCGACTCAGGCCAACTTCAGCGGGGTCTTGCCCACCTTCCGCGTGGTGGACACGGTCTTCGTCTTCGTCTTCCTTGGGGAGTTTTTGTTGCGCCTAGCGGTGGAGGGCACGGCCTTCTTCAAGGACCTGGCCAACTACCTGGATGCGGCGCTCTGGCAAAGAGGAGTTTCTAGCCGCGCCCTACTGAAGGACCTTTTTTCAAATACGATACCCCCCCCGCAAACAAAAAGAAAGAAGCAAAACAAAGAAAAGAAGACAAAAACAAAATGAAGAACAAAAAAGAAGAAAAAGGGTTTCCTTTTGCCTGGCCACCAGAATGGAGGCACATGATTCAGAACCCCGCCCTTTCACCCGCAAGGTTGATGAGTTCTCGGATTGGGTTTTTCCAGGCGCCTCAGGCTACTGCGGACCTGGCCTCGACAGGCCTTTCCTTTGCGGACCCCTGTCTGGCCAATAGGGCTGGGGGTAACTACCCTGCACCATCTTGTCAGACCTTGCTGTTTAAAGAATTTGTGCGTAGTCAATAGATTTAGACCTTGTTGTTTAAATAATTTGTACGTAGTTAGTAGATTTAGACCTTGTTGTTTAAAGAATTTGTACGTAGTGAATAGATTTAGACCTTGTTGTTTAAATAATTTGTCCGTAGTTAATATATTTAGAGCTTGTTGTTGAAATAATATGTGCGTAGTTAATTTATTAATATATTTAGACCTTGTTGTTTGAATAATTTGTACGTAGTTCGTAGGTTTGCTGCTTGCGCTCGCCTGTTTTGATGTCCGAATGGCAACCCTTGAGACTGTGAATGGAGATAGCATTCGCACAAGTAGTGTCAAAAGCTTTGGTAATTTAAAATCAGGTTGTGGGTATTTGTTGATTCCAGGCCGGCAAGGGACCTCTTGAATCAGAGCGGGTTCTGGGAGGTGCCAAGAAACTATGCAGAGGACGCCATGTTCTGGCATTTCTCCAAGGTGTACTCTGAGGGAACAGAAACACCTCTAGAGTGGTGGGCCCGTGTTGTAGTTGTTTTACTCACCCAAAGGGGAAAGCTCTCATTTGTTGGGGTCCTGCATTGAAAGACACTCCTGCGGAGTACTCGCCGATTCGAAATTCGAAGCGGAGGTACTGGTTGCTGGGGGGCTCTTTGACATCATTCTCAGCGTGAATGCTGGGGAGGATGGCGCTACCCTACGATCCTTCGGTTTGCAAATGCCTTGGGCACTGAAACGCGCCAAAACACAGAAAGACACACCAGTACAGATCGCCAGCTGCCAGGAGAAACACGTGTGTCACCAGATTTAGGGTGTTTGACCCTTGCCCGCTTGGGAGGCTCAAGTGAAAGATTAAGGGTTCCTTCCCCTCGGCTCATGAAAAAAAGGACCCCCCCGGCATTGGAAAAAACCCGGCGGAGCCAGGGGGCAACGCGCGCCCGGAAATCATCTTAATCAACTTCCCACCTTGCTCGCCGCTGAAAAGATACCTGGGCCCACCAAAAGACGGTTGTCACTGACACCACTTTGGCAGAATTTTGTGCGTTGCTTTCTTCTTTGTTTGTGCTGCTCTTGCGTCATGTTTTCAGGGGCGTTGCGTGTTGCGTCAAATTTCAGGGGAGACTGAAAACACACCATCGTTGCAGGGTCCGGGTATGTGTATATATATATATATGTATGTATATATATATATGTAAATATATATATATATATATATGCATATGGTCACCCCCATGATCTACCTTCACTTTACCTCCTTGAACAAATGCTAGAAAACCCCGCCAGTTTGTTTGAAGGTGTTTTGCCTTTACATTGTGTTGGATGGTTGGCCCGAATCGGGCCGTCCAAAGTACCTGCGAACAAGTGCTGTGAGCATAGAATGTAGTGCTTGGATAGAACACGGCTAAAATGTGAACAACCACACACTGCACAAAAAACAGGTTGGTGTTGCCAAAAGTTGTTGTTGTTGGTTGTGCCTAGTTGTGTTTGTGTTTGTTGGCTTTGTCCATGCAAACAATCAACTCGCGGCTTGTTGTGTTTTGTCAGTACCAGAAGGTCTCAGAAGGTAAATCAAGCAAACGAGCAAACTCGTGTTGTTTGGTTCTTCGAGGGATAAAGCCAAAACCTAAAACACAAGGGACAACCAACAAGCAAAACACCAAACATCAGAGGAGAAGATTTGGGTTTGCCAAAAGTTTGCGTTCTCCGTTTGTCTCGAGTTTTGTTCCTTTCCGCGTATGATGTGGCTTCAAAAATAGCCAGTAGAATACATAGAGTTTAATGAATAAAGTTTATTAACTATAAAGTTCCACTAGACTCCTATTCTTTTTATCAGAATTTGAGTAACACATCCATTGAAGAGAACCTAGCAAGAGAATTAGGTCATGCATAAATTTGTTAGAACCTTGGATTTAAACAAACATTTAGCTCAAATTGTGGGAGAGTTGAAGAAGGAACAAGTTGCATTTGAATGACTAGTTTACTGTAGAACTTGAGTAGGAGGTCCTGTCCAATAGCACATTACTTAAATTTTATTGCAATGTTCATCGAATTTCAATGTTACGAACTATGCTAGAGAGGTATGTCAGGGGAACTTGCGTGTCAGACTACCTTCTGGAAACATGCGTGGGTTCCTTCCTAAAGGTGTAAGATCCCTCTGCCGGGTATGCTAAACATGTCCCACAACAGGTAGTGCAAAAGAACAATGACCCGAACTTTCTTCTGCATTCCCGTGGGGTGCGATCAAATGCCATTTTGCCGACATGAAGGTTGCGGTCCGAGTTCTCAAATGGCACGCCAGTGAGATTGTCCCATGATCAACACATGAAGCAAGAGTTGCAGCTAAGATGCATGATGCGAAAATTCACGTGCAATAACAGCCGCGACATCAGGGGCCGCCATGTGTACATATATGCAGGTTTTTTTTTTTTTGTAAAGTCAATATATATATATATATGTGTGTGTGTGTGTATAGGCAAACAAAAAGAAATGTATCCTGGTTCCGCAGTGCCGCTAGGTTTCTGATCCAAAGTTGCGCATTTGGCCTCAACTTTGGTGCCTGTACAACTTGGGTGATTTGAGCATTTGTTCAAAGTCAGCAATCCTTGTGCGGTTTCCCCTATCGTGTTGGTGCCCCACGAGGAACGGAGTGGGATTTCGCTGGGCTTCCAGGTTGGCTTCCAGAGCCAGGGGCAGCTGGCAGATGGGAAGCCAGCTTGCCCCACAAATAACATGGAATCCTACGGGGCTTCTTAGGGGATTACGCCCATTTTGTTGGTTCAATGCTCCTTGTTCAGGAGAGTAACAAAACTGCATCCTACTTGGCCAGGTCTTACGCTGGCCTCCCTTGATCAGACTCCCAGACTCAAGTTCCAAATTGGTTGTAGCGAAGACCTAGGAACTCCGTTGTGTTTTTCCTTGATAAGGCAACAAGAATACGCGTACAGGCCCACAGTGCCCGAGTCCATTGGATCTCAGGATTCGTGACGGCATTGAAGGCCTTCCGCGCCATTCGCATGGTCCGAAGCTTTCGCTTCTTCAAGGGCTTGCGCCTTGGGCTTAAGGGGCCCAAACAAGGTAGGAACTTTAAATGTCGGATGAGGTGCTTCTCTAGCTGTAAATGCCGCTCATGCCAAGAAAAACTTCAGAAATTCAGAAAGGACCCACAGGGTTGAGTGGCTGGCAAGCTAGTGGCACCCGGCTACGCCTTTTCTCATGCCCTGAGTTCCTGTGGGGGCTGGAAGGCAATTTTGCAGAAGGCAGGGCAACACAAGGGGCCTTCGGACTCTGCAAACGCCGTTTTCGCGAAAAGTTCCATTGAACCACCGAGATTTTCGCGTTCAAAGCCGTTTGTTTTTTTCTTTTTCTTTTTTTTCTCTGAACCTGAGGCGGGGCTTGGTGAAAGCCTGCCAGTGCTGCTTGCCGTCCTTGTGCTGGTCCATGGTGCTCTTGGCGGTCTTCATGTGCATGGGCGGCCTCATTATGGGGAACTTGCTGCAGGACGTCGGGCCATCCGATCAGCAAGGTTCCATGGCGTGTCTGTTTTTGAGAGCCCTTGCAGCTTGGTGCAAAGACCAAAGGGAAAGCCGAATTTTGCGGAGCTCCCCTTTTTTGCCTCATACCGGTGATATAAACCAACCTTTCTGGTTCAGTGAATGTAAGCTAGTATTACCAAGGAGCCTTGGGCTGGGATTCGGAAGACATGGGCATGGGTACGGAGGCTTCGCGGGCGTGAGCCTGTTCTATGCTCGGCTTTTTTGCTTTTGCATCCGCAGATGGCTCCCCTGAATGTGCGGATGGTCGATTCTGCGTGGGCTCGCTGTTGGACCCAGCGGCGCCAGCCAGTTCTCCTTGTCGCTTTTTGTTCTTGTGTGGGATGGGTTTCCTTCTGTAAAATTGGGCCAAATCCAACTGTAGCTTCGTGGTAAAATTCGGCAGCGACAAATGCAGTATCTCCAACTGTAGCTTCGTGAATGCCTGGTGCAGAAGAGTCATTCAGCTCTGTGTTCATCTAGCGCAGACACCAGAGCCCCCTGAGTCTCGAAAAGGCACGGCCGCCGCGAAGCTGAGTTTTTGCCGGTGTCGATCAGTTCGCCCTCCTGCGCACAAAAGTTTTCCATGAGCGGTTTGCCCTGCGTCCCTGAGTGTCGGCAATGCATCTGGCAGTGCAAACACAGCATGCAGCAGAGAGACCAGGCCCCAGACAGATGTTTAGAACATGAAGAAGACAGTCCAAAAAGTATCAAACAGTGTTAAACCATGTCCATTCCTGTGGGGCTTCCATTTGGATCCGGATGCGTTTGCTTCAAAACCCCGCAGGACTTCATCAAAGATGAGACGCAGAGCCTGGAGGATCGCCAGTGGGTCTGGCAGCGCTACGGGACCTCCTACCGCGCCACCTATACGTTGCATCACGGCCGGACTTGCGTGCTGGGTTGTTGCATTGGGCTGTTCCTCACTCGCTTGGAATGTTGGAGCCAACCGTAGGGTGAAACACACACACACACACAAACGCAGCGGTACTTTTGGGCTTCCGACCTCGCTTTGCAAGTGCTCGCTTGCTGAGGTATGAAATCACCTTCGCAGGCTGGGATTGCTTATGCTTTTTGGAACGCGGGGTGAAGCAGCCAGGTGTTTCTGAGTCTCCTTCAAACTTTCGAGTTCGGCTTTGTTGTGTCTGTTTATTTGTGGCGGTGCCCGCAAAAAAGCTTACAACTTTTAGAGCTTTGGGAGTGCCACTCGGTGGGCTTGTCATCTTGGCTGGTTGAGTGAGACTTGAAGCCTTTGGGTCGTAAGGTTTCCGGAAGTGAAGTACCATGGGCATTCATGCTCTGGGCCCCTGGATTTTTTGGATGAAACGATCCCGGACCCTGCTACGTTGCTCAGGGTTCCCAAGATGGTCCCTTGCAGCTTCGAATCTCACCTTTTGGCTGCCAATTTCAAGACGAGTCCTGTTGAGCGGCGACATAGGGAGTTTCGTTTCTGTCTCCGCAGACTTGCCCAAGGCCCAAGGCAGGCCATTTTCCGAGCTGAATCGGCCGGAAACGGCGTCCCAGCCGAGGGTTTGTATTCTTCTTGCGGGTCCAACTTTGTCAGCCTTCGATGTGTCAAAGCTCACAACTCCACGTGAAGATGGCAAGGTGCCATCTGCTCCCGACCCTGAGCAAATTGGACTGGGCAATCGACCGTGTAGCTTGGGGTTGCCAAGTTAGGTTCAAGCCTGTCTGCCCTGTCTGCCCTGTCAGGCAACTGGCCCACCAACGCTCGGCCCGTGCTTGAAAAGGTGAACCAAGGCTTCGTGGTGTTCTTCTTGCTGTGCCTCAGCCTTGCATTCATTCCCACCTTGTGAAACCAAATGGGGAGGGTTGCCCACGTCCAAGCCACCAAACCAAGCCTAAGGCGAGAGTGAGGGGAGAGAAAGCGGGTTGGATGCGTTTGCTTGTGATTCCCCAGAAGCTGAAAGCTTTGGGCTCTCAGCCCAGATAGGCTCCACCAGGGTTCCACCAAAGTTCCACCAGGCTTCCACCAGGTTCTGCAAGGGCTGCGGTGTGGTCCGGGGTGGTTTGAGGTAAGGTTCCAGGGTTCCACCAGGGTTCCACTAGGATTTGCCTTGGTGGAACCCTGGTGGAACCTGACCTCAAACCACCCAGCCCTTGCAGAACCTGGTGGAACCCCGGTGGAACTTTGGTGGAACCCTAGCGGAACCATCATCTCATGGAACCGGCGGAACCCTGGTGGAACCCTTGTGGAACCTTGCCTCAAACCACCCCGGACCGGTTCCACCAGGGTTCCACCAGGGTTCGATCAGGGTTCCACCAGGGTTCCACCAGGGTTCCACCAGGGTTCCACCAAGTTCTGCGAGTAAGGTTCCATGAGGGTTGTACCAGGGTTCCACCAAAGTTTCACGAGGTTCTGCGAGTGCTGCGGGGTGGTCCCACCAGGGTTCCACCACGGTTCCAGGGTGGCCGTAAGGTCCTACAAGGTTCCACAGTCAGAGTTCCACAAAAGTTCCACAAGGCTGCACAAGGTTTCCACAAACGTCCTCGAGGGAAGCAATGTGTCGTGCCCCCACCGTCTGAAAAGCCATAGGAGCAGTAAGTTGAGATCGCTTTGCTCATGGGCGGAACACTGAGCAAAACCGAAATCAATGATTTTCAGCACAAGTTCACTGCTTTGACTTGCTCACTTGCTCAGACAACGCGGCCTGAAATGTTGGCTTTGTGGCTTGGCATTAATGAGTATTACTTGGTGGGCTTTGGGCTCCAAGGTTCCACGGGGTGAGGTTCCAAAAGCGCTCCACGAGGTTTCCACCAGGCTCTGCAAAAGCTCTGGGGCAGCCCTGAGGAAAGGTTCCCTTTAGTTTCACGCTGAGTTTTGCGAGGGTTCCACGAGGACGGTTTGCGAGGTTCGCCGGGCCCAGGTCGGGGCCCGATTGCGCTGTCGGGGCCCGATTGCACCGTCGGGGCCCGATCGATTGCGCCGTCGGGCCCCGACCAGGCCCAGTCGAGCCCCGTCTTTGCTAGATACAGTTGTGAGGCCACGTTTCAAGGAAAGCCGGCGTTGAGCTATAATATGGGTGGCTGGGGTTGGTGGGAGCCCGCTTGCGCCACGGGACCATTGGGCCCTGCCCTCAGCAAAACCGGCGGTGAGGTGGGGCGGGATTCCGGGAGGGTGTGGTGCTGTTGGGGATATCGCCTGAGCTTATTTTTTGCTGAAAGGCTGCCTCTCGGCACCTTCTTCTGTTGTAGTTATTTTTGCCCCATATGCTACGACGAGACGGATACACAGAAGGCGCTGGCAAGCCATCGGAATTCACGAGATAGAAGTCACAGCCTTGAAGGATCCATTGACGCCGGCCAAGGTATGTCACCATCATCGTTTTCGCGGTGATTCGCGTGATTTCGGCGATTTTTCTCAAGGATACGTTGGATGAGGCCCACAACGACGCTCAGCAACTGGTGATGGACCGCCTGAAGAAGAAGGCGCTGATTCAAAGACACCATCATGTCCATTTTCGCTTCTGTGGAGATGACTGGAAACATGGAATTGGGGACCCCTTCCACCCCACCTTTCTAGAGTTCATACCTTTTGGGAAGACCATCTCAGTGACACCCCATAAGTTGGGCTTTGGTCCGACTCAGCCGGAAGAGAGCCCGTAGGGCAGGCCCTTTTTGTGGGAGGCCCTGCTCCCTGTGGCTCAAGCGGTCAGAGACTCGTTCTGTTCTGTTTCTCAACCCCCCAGCCGTTTCTTCCGGCTTCCGCGGTTTTCAGGGCAACTAGGGAACCCTATGTGCGTCAGCACCCCAGGTCTGGAGACCAACATGTACGGGACTGGGATTGAGGGCGGAGCCTGGGGAAACCGATCCGAAGCACACACAGAGTTTTGGGCCCACCAAGCCCAAAAAGCCGCAGATCTGCTCAAGCAAGTCCTGGTCCGAGCTGGGCATCCACATTGCTTCTGCTACACAGGTCCTGCAAAGATCTTGCCATCGTACCTGCCCAGCTGCAGACTTCCTGGATCAGGCTACACCCAAGTCGCTCGCATCCACGTGTCCCTGCAATTGCCAGCTGCCAGGAATGGGTTGGAGCAGCGTGGTCAAACTTGGTTGCTGTCCCGGGCGCCAATGTAAAGTCTGATGTGTTCACTTAACTCCCATCGTCGGCATGCGTCGGCAATGGCCCAGCTGTTTGGCCACCGCGCTCTGACCGTGAGGGACACCGCGCTGCTTCTCGGCAAGCCGGTGCCTCTGCTTCCGGCTGCGAATTTGGACGAAGCTTCAGAAGCGTCCTGGATTCCTGAGCAGGTGGCCTGCAAAACAAAGCCGTATTCGATGATTTGCCGGCGCCTATAGAATCCTTTGCCCATGGTGGAAGCAGCATGCGCAACTGCTCGGAAGGCATCAGCGGCGGGAGAGTGGAGGCGGCGATTTCTGTGTCGTCCGTTCGCTGCTCTCGACTGCCTTGGCTCCTTACGCTAGCTGCTGCCGGCGAGTAGCCTCGTCTGCCAGGCGCTTGCGCCAAGGCGCCGAATAAGTGGACCGGCACTCTTGTCGGAGCCCAAGTCAGTCGAGGATGGAAAAGAAGGGGCTTAAGAGTGCCCCAAGGCGTACGCGGGCCTGGTCATGCGTGAAAGAGTGGCACACTGTGAGCCAACTCCGGCTTGAATTCCTGCAAGCCACGCATTGACCCGCATCACGCCATGCCAGATCGTATCCCTGGCCAGAAGGATTGCTCCCCATTTGCCGCAAAACTGCCAAGTCAGAGACCAACAAGACGAGTCGAAGATTGACCAGGTTACCACCCGAAGCGTGAGCTTGGCGGCTGCCAAGAAAGGCAAAAGTCCTATGTGGGAACTGAGCCGACGCTTTCCTGACAACTTGGTAAAAGTCCACACATATGACTGATCCGGCATTCGCTGGGCTGCGGCTGCTCAGGTCTCTTGCTAAAGATGCAAGTACCCGAAAAGATAGCAAGGTATCAAGTTCTGACAATCTGGTACTGGCACTGGCATCCACAAAGGCTGTTTGTGCTGGCAGCTGAGGTTTCAACATTCGTGTAAGGTAGGCTGCGCACCGAGTTGAATCTACCTAGTTTCCCTTCTTTGCCGGGTGGCCTGCCTGTTGCGTAGCAACCTCATCCTCCAGATCGCGGCTCCCATTGTAGAGTTTCGGGGGGGTGGTTTGCTTTCACTTGCCACTTCTGCGTTCCTTGCTTGTCCGGGCTGGACTGCCGGCAGCCGTTATGACCGGAACGCACGAGTGTTTGTGTGCTTGGATTTGCCATGCTCCTGGTTCACAAGCGTCCGGCGGCGGGGAGGTACCTACGAAGAGGGTTTGTTAGAGGTACCAGCTGTGTCGGTCCGCCTTCTCTCAAGTATCTTGGCACCTGTACGGATGCCAAAAAGCAAAAAACACCATGGGATTGGCAAATATACTCAGTGGAAAGCTTTTTGGCGCAGAACAGTTTATGAAGCAAAAGTGCCCGAGCTTTTCTCCATGCTGGGGGAGTCCCGCCAGATACCCACTTGTTAGGTATGATGCCAACCCCTCGCCGAAAAAGGGGGTATGTATTCGAGAAAGTTTTGGCAACCAAATAGTGACTATCACGCGCCATCAAGAACGCCATATAGCTTCCGCAAAAGGGGCACTGAATCAGTATGCTAGTTTGGCTAATTTGCAACGAATTGAATTGTGGCAAACCACTCTCCCGCCCCGCGCACAAATGGCCATCAGTGGGTGGAGGCAAACTTTGAGCTTGTTGCTGTCGAGTTGCTTAGTAGTCAGTTTAGTCAAGGCCCAGCCTCCGATCAGAATGAGCCTCAACATCCAGTTGCTGAAATTAGTATGTCTTACTTCCCGCGTGGTGTTAACAAAAATGGTTTCCTTTACTTTAAATCAACTCCAAAAAGGGTACCCTTGAAAGTCGACACACCCAACTCTTGAAACCAGGTCCTAAAGATTCCAATGCCGAGGAATTCCTAGGCGTTCTGGTTCTCAAGGCGTTGTAGGCGTTTTGCGTCTGTTTGCGCTTTTTGCGGGCGCTTGTCCTTTTGCGGGCTTTTTGCGGCATTTTGCGGGCGTTACTTGTTTCAAGGCGTTTGCGGTATTTTGCCGGCGTATGCGTCCAACACAGGGTCAATGCCAAGAATTACTAGGAATTCCTTGACGTTTGAATCTCCAGCACCCGAAAAAAAAATGACAACTCCGCGTCAGACGCCGTGAAACTTTGGCCATGGGTCAAACGCCCGACCCCCAGTGAACATCCCAATCCAACCACTAAAATAGGTCCCAAAATGGGGGGGGGTGAATTCACCTAGCCACCAAAATGGTACCATTGGTTTTGAACCATGGCCATTTTACTAGGTTCTTCAGATTTGAGAGGCTAGAATAAGTTGGTACCCACTGTTTTTCTGTAGGTTATTTTAGTAGGGGAACAAATGGGATCCGCCAAAACGGTGTTGAGCACCTACTGTTCGTTCTGCTGAACGGTAGGCGGACTACATCCAGCGCCTGGAGGGTCTCTTCCGCACCATCGACGACTCGGGGGCCGGGATGATCACGGAGGATCGTCTCACCGAGCCCCTCCGCACGCATGAGGTCCAGCTGGGTACGCGGGGAGGGGGGGGGATGGGGGGGGAGAATGTGTGGAGAGCAAAATGGGAATGAGGGGGGGGGATGTGTGGAGAGTTAGAGTGTATGTTGCCACCAGAAACCCTATAAAAACCAGTACCCTAACTGAAGGAGGCTGCAACATAGACCCTAAAGTGCACCATTCGGGGGGGGGGGGGGGACCCTTACATGAAATCTGTGCGTTTGCCCGCTGCGTTTTTTACGCCAGGACCTAATGTGAAAAGGGCGGCCTCAAATCAGTTAAAACGCTGGCGGGCGTCCGATTCAATTGCGTGCCAACATGGGGGTGTTAGATTACACGGTTTAGGCCAGACCACTTGAATTGAGCATAATGAGTAACAACAGTTAGCGCTTGAAATCACATCACTTGCCAACCGTGTTGTGCAAATTTGCCTCGGAAACAGTGCGCCCGGATAGAGAGCGGAGTGCGAGTTCAGAGCGCATGTTAGCCTAAGGAGGCGAAGAACCGAGAAAATATCAGTTCGCGCATCACACGTTCACGTGGTTATACATGTTACCATGTATTGGAAGTGAGCAGAATAGTGTAGAAGTGCAAAAGGAGGTTAAAAAAGACGATTATTTTGATTCAGACAAGCAACCAGGCGAGACTAGGGTGTACAAACACTATGCCCCCGGTCAAGAGAAAACTACATGTGTTGGTACGCTACAGGTGCTTAATCCAGCAGCAACCCACGTCCAACGTCCAAGTCCAACAAAAAAGCAAAGGGGGTCGAATTTATTGATTCTTGACACCCTCCTTTTCTTTCACTAACCTAGCTAGAATCACAAACAAAAGGGTATCAACTATGTGCATTTCTTTCAGCAAGTTGGCCTGATAGTGCAGGACCGACAAAACTTGCTCATGCATGTGTCAGCCCAGTCTTCGTGAGGTCTGGAAAAATCAGTGCAATGGGAAGCAAAATTGTTTGAACCTAACACATGCCTTGGTGCATTCGCAGCCCTCTCGCCTGTCGCAACTGTCGTCCAATTATGTGCTAAGATGTGCTAGCTGTTCTCACTCGAAGTTGCCTGTGCTGCGGCGATTCGTCTTTATGGCGCTGCGTTCAGTTTCTTAGGCAGCTGTGCAAGGTTTGGTAAAGATTACGATAGACAGTCGGATTGGGTGAGCCGAACAAATGCAGATGATTCTATTTAATGGGCAGCCTTGCAACAGGGAGAAGGACAATTGGGTCAATTTTATTAGATTTCAACATCTGTTTTTTCTTTCACTAACCCAGCTAGTTGCGCAGCCTGATGCACGCCTTTTTTTCTTGTTTTTTTCGTATCGACTGTTCACAGGTTTGCGGTGGTCCCCAATTACGTGCTAACTATTGCGAGCAAATTGGCCTATAAATCTAGTCCAGTTTTGCGCTGACTGGCGGTGTCAAAAAAGCGCCAGCCCATTGTTACTCACGATGCCAAGTGTTGACTAGGACTACTTGAGGTGTGGTAGCCATGGTTTGTCTGTGGCTCACTTGCGACTGATATGGGGTAGCAGCTCGCAACAAGTTGGGGGGATGTCCCCTTGGCTCAGGTAGGCCAGGTTCGGCTATCGTGTCAACATGTGGGGGGGCGGGGGGGGGGGGTTAAACCAAACATTGTTTGCCAACTGCTCCAAGCCAAGCGCCGTCAAGGGGGGGGGGTCCTCTTTGGACCTGACCCTGCGTTTGGAGCTGCCTCTTTGGGAGTAGTTCTGCGCAGTTGGGTGTCTGCAGATTTTCTTGGAAGGTGGGTCAAAAGCCAAACTTCCATTTGCTTAATAATATGTGTTATTTTCCCCCTGTTGGTTTCAAAAGGAATCTATCACGACTGGACATATTTTTCCAGGGGTCTCAACCAAATGGAAGCAAACCTGGAAGGCTTAATCCCCAAAGGACCCAAACTAAGGGGACTCATAGGTAGGTTTGTTTCGCCTTTTGAGCCCATGGTAACGCAGCTGGGGCAGCACTTAAGCCAAGGGCTTCCCGCCGTATTTTCACCAGCGCCATTGATGTAGCCCCCAACGCACTCACATGTCCAGTGCCGGCAACCTATTGAGATCGGGGTTAGGTAGTAATCATATTGAGTAAACATGTACAGAACCTATATTCACATACACATGAACATAAGTGCAAAGGTCAGGGTAAATACCGTTGCGCACGACTTTTTTTTCACAGACCTGTTCGCCAACGTTTGCCCTCTTGTTGTTGTTCAAATTCTGTAGCGATTTGAGAGCAAGCTGCGCAAACAAAATCTCACTTACTGGGGGACAACCCCAGACATACGTTACGTAACCTTTTTTGCATATTGTGCTTTTTGGGTAGGCCGAGCCTCTGACCCGCGCCACTAGACGTTCTGACCTTATGGTCTCCCCAGCTTTTGGTGTTCTAATTTGATCTTTTCGGTTGGCCCCCTCCCCAGGTTCAAAAACACCGTTTCTCAGTTTCTAAGGCCTCCGGTTGGAAGCACGGTGGCTTCACCACCCCTTTTGTGCGGTGGAACTCGCCGAGGATTTTGAGCAACCCCAAAGTCAAGGCATACTTCCAGACCTTGGAGATCGATGTGCAGGACCCATGGCCCGAACGTGCGAGGGAGGTGCGCATTGACATCCAAAAGCCGGGTTTAACATTTGCTTTGGTTGTTTACACTTGCATTTTGAGGGGGGGTCAGGGATGCGTGATTTCAGAAGTGGGGATTTCTTAGATGCTCGTCATGAAAGGATGAAAGCCGCCCTTTACAAACCAGGTTTCATGGTGGCCAGCAGAACTCCAGAATGTTTGGAAAAACCGTCTTCAAAAGCTCGATGCCTAGAGCATTGGGGTTGTAAGGTGGCTTGCCCACGGCCTCGGCGTGGCGAGCATGAGGCGCAATGATTTCTCATTGGTGAGCCGGTGGCTCATAGGAATTCGTTGGCCCTCGCAGCGCCAACGAGCTTCCGGCGCTGACGACGTCAGGGTCCCGCTAGCAGGCCCCCTGTTTTTGCGCCATGCCTGCACACGCTCGAAGCTTGTCAGGAGGCATCCACGCTCTTCCACTTGCTCGACAATGGGGACGGAGAAGTGACGTTGGAGGCAGCGCCGGAAAGCCTAGTTCATGGTTTTGGACCTAGCTTAGCTGATTGCAAGCTGGCTGTAACTCACTTTCTTCATTGTAAGTCCACTAAGTGGCAGTGAGCCAACCCCACACTGGTCGAGTAGTTTGCGTTTGGTGTTTGGCTTCAGGAGTCGGAGAGCCTGCTTGTTTGTTTGTTGTTTGCAAGATTGTTTTGTGGAGTGTCATCTCTGTTTTGTTGAGTGTCATCTCGGCTTGGCCCATTTCAGCCTATTGAGCCCCCCGATGTCGCGCCTGGGTGCGGAAACACGAGCTTGTCAGATATCTGCGCTGTGGCCATTCATAGCCATTTTCCTGCCTGGGGAAGAAACAGTTTCAGCAGCGCCCAACGCTCCATCGGAAATTAGTGGGTACTTCTACCACCTGGTTCAAGAGGGGTCATAAACAGTTTTGACTTGTGGTGGTAGAAGGTTTTGAGCGCACCTCACGTTGTAGCGGAAAATGCAGGGCCTCCCCCTCGCAATTTCCCCCTCCCCCTAATAGCAAGATGAGCGGCCCCATGCCTTTACCTGCGTTTGGCAGGGGTGGTCATCAACCTCAAAATGGGGCTTTAGACAACCAATTCAATGTAAAGCTTCCTAGTCCTAGAAAAGGAGTTTTGACCATGGCACACAATGGGCAAAAAGCGTGCGGCTCCTTTGCATTTTTTTCAGAGGGGCTTCCTTTTTCAATATTTACAGTGATCTCCCGCTGTGAGGATGTTGCCAAGTTGCGGTGCCAGGTAAGTCCTTTTGGCTTGCGTAAATCGGGGAGCCAACCTCCCGCCACCCGAAAAACACACAACTTCTATTTTGTTTTGTTGGAGGTGGTTCTGCTGCCTTAGAATAAGGCCCATATAAACCCATACGGCAAAAGTTAGGAGACAAGGCCATGGATGAGTCTTTGGAGGAGTTGTTGTCGTTGTTTGTTTGTTTTGGGCGGGGGGCCTGAAAAAGCGAAGACTGCTCAGTGTTTGACTTTAAGTTGTTGAGTTTGGAGCATTTAGAGGCAAACAACAGGTGCTCAGATAGGGGGACCCGTGTTTTGTCGACCTCCAACGGGTCCAGAAACCAGGTCCAGGTAAAAAGAGTTGTTAAAGCACAGGTTGCTGATGGAAAGCGAACTGGACCTTATAGCCCGCTTCTGTTTAATGCCCCCCTTCAGCGGGTTACAACTAGGGTTTGTGACCATTTCGTGATTCTTCCCAGACCATCGAATCAAGGCCGAACATTACCAATTCACAATATTATCCTGTGGCCCGTGACGTGGTCATGACTTAGATTTTCGAGTACCCCAGACTCCAAATCCAATACTTCTTCATCATTTTGTTGGGAGCCCTCCAGGTGGCTGGTTTCCGCTTGGTTTCCCGGTGACGCCATCCAGGTAACCCTCGGTTTGGATTGGCTGGGGGATTGGATCCTCTGGTTCTTGTTGAAAAAAAAACAGCCACCAACCACTAAACCACCACTCCAAACCACCAATTGCGAAGCTGATCCAAGCCTCCACAATTTGTGGCGGGCGTAAAACGCGCTCACCACGGCAAAGATCCTTTTCTTTGGGATCCAATTCTTCTTTCGGGTTTTGAAACTACTGTCTAGGTCCCCCAGTCGTGCCCTTTTTACCCTTTTGGGGGAGGGTTCCGCTCCTAAAATAGACTCCAGAAAAAAAGGAAAATCAGTTGGTGCCCTTGTTCTAAGCGCTCCAGTTAAAATGACATGGACTGTAAAAAAAATCCCGTCCCCAAGTCGGTTCCCGTTCCATAGGAGTTCATCGACGGCATCATGCGGTGCAAGGGCCCAGCCCGCGCCATCGATACCGTGGCGCTCCATGCTGACCTGCGCCAGGCGGATCGTTGGTCCATGTTTCCACTTAGGGCAGCCCATTTTGGTACCGTTTGTTTTTCTTCTTTTTTTCTTGGGTGTGGCTCAAATGGGTGTGGCTCAAATGGGTGTGGCTCAAAATTAAACGATTGGAGGTACCTCCCTCTCCGGGTTGGACTTGAAGAACTCTTTGGAGACCCAGAAACTTGACTCATGCAACCCTTTGTTGGTTCAGGGAGGGGCAAACCGCAGGTGTTGGTCCATGTTTCCACTTCCCAGGCTTGATTTTGGTACCGTTTTTTTTGAGCCACGGCCAAATTAAAACATGGACATCCCAGATTAAAACATGGTTCAGGCAAGCCTTTGGTGGGCATAGACACCCAAAATACACAGGAAATCCGATAATCAGGCAAGCCTTTGGTTTGGATCGGTTTGGATTTGGGTTTGAACCTTACCTCACCCCCCGAGTCCCTGGACCTTACACTTCCTTTTTTCTTCTTCTGTAGACACTGTAGAACATGTGAGTGACTTTACAAACAAATTAGACACTTTCTGGCCAATCCACTCAGGAAGTGAGTTGCATTTGCTGAAACGAATACTTTTCCCATGTTGGTTTTAAATGGAATTGATCACTACAGGAAAATGGAGGGAAAGGGGGTCCGCCAAAAAAGATGTTTTTGTACTGGTTGCTTTTGGGGTTCCACGCCAATTTGTAGGAGTTGTTTTTTTTACCCACTGTGAAAAAGTCTACGTTCACCTTGGTGTATTTCCCAGACTACTTTGGAAACATGTATGGTCTAGTACACCAAACTGGCCCAAAACAAACGATAGACCTTGCAGGGCACTTTCGTTTGTTTGGTTTCAGCGGCTTGCAGGTATATGAGCCTTTGCCCCAAAGGGGTTCAGTCCGCAAGCCAAATGGCAAAATGGAGGTCGGTTTGACAGGGCTCGCCCCTTCCCTTACCTGTGCGCTCCCTGTTTGGTGAGATGCCAAACAAAAAGTCGCAGTCAAGAATGCACCTGAAAAGACGCGTGTCTTCCTCTCCAATTTGGTTGGTAGACTCCAAAAGGAGCCTTGTAAATGATGTCCACTTGAGAGCGGAACTTGATTTTGGAGGGGAACCCTTCATCTTCGGGAGACGAACCTATGCATCTGACAATCCGGGGTCGACATTGTGAAGGTGCTTGGGCAACTTATATCGAGCTCGCCCATGAATACTAGTTTGGTTTTGTGGGATTCTGTTGCCACCCGTGTTCTGGCAGCAAGGAGCATGGTGCACAGTTGCAATTCTGGTACGCAGTTTGAGCAAAGGTCGTACTTCCTCGAGGTGCTGCGTTTGGCACGACATCTGCTCTTGCCAAACTGGTAGCTTGATAGCGCAGGATTCCCCATGTTTGTCTCGTTCGGTATGTTTTGGGTGGTTTAAAAACTACCTTTTCTGCAAGTTTCAGGTGAGCTTTGTTGTTGAAACGGACGCTTTCATGGGGTTTGTTTATTGATCTTTGACTTACTTTGGGAAACTTCCCACCAACTAACATCAAGCAGTATGTCTGTGCACAGCTGTCCCCTGGAAAAGAATCTACGAAGTCTTTCGAGAGGGCCTGTGCACTTCCGTGTTGGGAGGGGTGTTCCCGTGGCTAACCAACATTCCGATCTCAGCTGGGCGCCATGTAGAAACCAAAGGGGAATGGAATGAGTAATTGGCGAATCTTCGAGAAATCTGTCCAGGCCTCCTATTTGGCACCCCGTGGTCAGGAGTGCAACCCTATTTCGGCTGCCATTGTGGTAGGGCGTTGCAACTATCAAGGCCTTGGCAGTATTTGGCTGAGGCTTGCTGACCCCTGTATTTCCATGGGTGTCTTTCGGGTGTGGATTGAAGGCTAGGTTGACCAGGCAACTGAGGGACATAACTATCGCCCTAGCCTAGTAGGGTGGTCATTTTGCCACATGCGCTTGCAATGAGGCAAGTACCCTACAAAGGGCCTCTCTGCGAAGCAGAGGGTTTCTCAAACTTGTGGTCCTCTAACAGGGCTCCTTAAAAGATACAGTTTGTCCATTTGAAACATGGCTTGTTCCACCAACATAATGGGACACCACCATTTACAATGCAATGTTCAGGTGTATAATGTAAGGATCCCTGTAACGGTTCATTTCCAAATTTGGAGCTGGGGAGCTACAACGATTTCCGTAGTGACCAGGTGTCTTTGACCCCCAAACCATCCAGCTGCCTCTGTTAGCTCGAGCTCACGGGGGTAAAACGAGCTCACTATGATAAAGGTCCTTTACTTGGGGATCCGTCAATTCAGTTTTTGGAACTATAGTAAAATCAGTAGATACCAGGTTTTGATTCCAGGTGGATGCTAAGCTGGCCAAGCTGACCAAGCAACTGAAGGAGACCAACCTCGTCCAAAGCAGGGCATCAAAAGCCAAGACGCTCAACGCAAAACAAGGGAGGGACCCTCAAAAAAGTCAGCCGGGGGGGGGGCAGGTTCTTTTTGGTGCATGATGTGCTTGTTTTTCTCCTCCAAATCCAAACGGCTATTTTTTTGTTGAGTCTCCTGGGGTCCATGTTCAACCCCGGTTTTTTGGGACCCTTTTCCAAGCACCCCAGCTGGGCTAGTCAGGCCATTCAAGCTCGGCCAGCTAAGCATAAGCACCGGGAGCCTTTCATGAGGCTTCTAAAAAAACGAGACGCGGGGGAAAAAAGAAAAACAGAGACGCGGGGTGAAGCCAATCGAGCCCCAAGGTCCGAAGGTCGACCACTGTGGCAAACGGTCTCTCTTTTTTTGTCACCCCGAAAAACGCTTTCCCGAGCCGTTTTGGCGATGAGGATGAGGCCTTTGGATCTGGCACAAGACATGCGCAACTGGCACGGAAAGGTGACCCAGCGCCACCTCCCTTGGCGGCCACAAAGGAACGCCCTCAAAGTGCTGATTTGTAGAGCTGCTTCAGTTTTCCAGCTGGGTTAGAATCAACTTGTTTAGGTTCATTCTTTCCCAGTGGGTTCAGGCAAGCCCCTGTAGGTAAAGCTATTTGCCTCTTGGTTTTGTCCATGGTTTTCCCTGCTTACCTAATCAGACACACAGTGGTGCTCTTGTTCCCCGTTTTTAGGATGCGTTCCCATATGGAATCAACTACCCCAAGCAACATTTGCCTTTGTTCTGCTCGCCTTGGGGCCTGGAAACATTGAGATTGCCTGGGCTGCGCACGGCCCAATCACGTCCAAGGACAGATTCCAAGGACGCCAAGCGAAAGCACGTGGACCTCAAGATTTTCAATCGTGTGGACGCTGGCCATTTGAGGTACCAGGGGTGGATTCAATTTTTGTTCGACCACCCAACAAAGCCTTGTTTTACAGGGGCCGTCCCTTGTTTTAGGGGGGAATCCCTCACACCCGATGGATGATCTGCTGGGTGTGTGTCAAGCCCGAGATATGTTTGTTTTTATCCAGATCAAGGGTGGAGAAGTAATGATTGCTCCGCGAGCCCACGAGCCTACCGATGCATCAAACCAGCACATCAAACGAGCAATTTAGTTTATGTTGAACGACTCTGAGGAATTAATTCCTCAATCCAGGTCGGGGGCTTATGTTGAGTTCAAATACTCGATCCGGAAAAAATATTTTGCATTGGGAGAGTTGCCGAAGCATCACTGGCGCTATGGGTATGGGGGCCCCTGGAAAACCCCAAGGCTCGGAGACCTCCCTCGAATTCCCTTCTCGTATGGAGGGTTCAAAGTTAGACATCACAACCGAAAGAGGTGTCCTTGATTTTGTGTGCTGGAGTCACTGGGGATAGTTTTCTGTTTAGAATTCAAGCGATGTGAGATCCATAAACATTGGATGTTGGATACCTGAGATGCGCACACAGCTCTCAGCCATTTTCTTGTGACATCCTGGAAATGCAGTTGCGCAGTGACGTTCTTTCCATGGACGAGACGGAAGCCAAGCTTTGCATGTCGGATGTTGGGGCGAATCACTGCGGTTTGTCGAAGGGAAGAGAGTCCCATTTTGGCTAGATCCCCCAGTGCCCTTTTACCCTTTTTGGGAGGGTTCCCCTAATAAAATAGACTACAGAAAAGAAAAGTTGGTACCTACTGCAGGACCTAGTTGGTATCACAGAAAGGTTCTTTCCCACCCAGTTTCATCCCTCACTTCCCCCTAAACGGCATTAAACGGCGCTCCTTTTTGTGATTATCACGAACCGCGACGCCAACGAAGAGGAATGTCTGTTGGAAGCACGCCATTTGTAGCTTCCACGCAACCCAAAAGGGGTCTCATAAAAGGGCCTGTCAATTTTACTGCTATGGCTGTATTTCCTTCACAGTAAGAGCATGCTCAAACACGTTTCCTTTGTGCTATGATTGCAGAGGGGAACGCCCTCCAAATTGGTTGGTGGACGTACATCAATCGGGAGAATAGGTGAACATTCATACCCATGGCACTCCTTTCTTGTCCCGAATTTTCAGCCACTTTCCCAGACAGTTACCAAGACCCCTTCGTTAAACCTCTTTTACAGACCAAAAGCCATGTGTTTTACAAGGGAGTCCTCTAAATCAGCTGCTAAATAAAATGTAATTGTCACGAAAGCTAGCTTTAGCTAGCTGAAGTTTCTCCTTGCGTAAGCAAGGTAAGGGGCTCAAATGCCGAAAGATTGATTTTTTCAATTATTTGAGCCGAAAAGATTGAAAAACATCAATTATTTAGACCCCCCCCCCCCTCCCCCCCCCCCCCCCCCCCTCCCCCCCCCTCCCCCCCCCCTCCCCCCCCCCCCCCTCCCCCCCTCCCCCCCCCCCCCCCCCCCCCCCTCCCCCCCCCCCCCCCCCTCCCCCCCCCCCTCCCCCTCCCCCCCCCCCCCCGGTCTCAGGCTCGATTCCTCCCTGGTCCATCCCCCCCCCCCGGGCAGTGGCTCAGTGTTCAGCAGTCTCGGTTTGCCCGTTTTGGACTTGGTGCTACGAACTTTTACATGTTCCACCGATTCAGCTTGTTCATTTGAGACCTCAGTCTTCTCGGTAAACCACCTCGCCAGAATCTTTGCACACGCAGCATGCAGAACCCAGAGGTGCTTTAAGACAGCTTCTGACGCCTCTCGTTGTTTTCATTTTTCAAGGTTTGCCACGCCACCATGTGCGTTCGCGTGTCGCATCCTACGAATCTTGCCGGGCCTCTCGTTGTACACAAGCTACCTATGAATCCACTCTGTCACCGACCCATCTCATGCAACAACTGCTAGCTTTCGTTCACCCGCTCCTCAAGTTTAAGTGACCCAAATGTATCCTTGAAGGGCCCCTGCAAGGGCCGTCAGCCAGGGTACCCAGAAAACTGGGGAGTATCTGAGTACCAAATAACGCGTAGGTGGGGAGGGGGCAGCTGGGACAACATCCCAGCAGTGGGCAACGACAGATGGAACCGCATGATAGAGCTGTATGGCAAACGGCTGGTTAAGGCGCTTGGCCTGCAAAACTGCTTCTACCTTGGTGGATTCTGTCTCTTTCACTTGTCAGAGTTGTTTCCAATGAACTCAACCAACATTTGGGTAGACTAAGGATACATTTTACATTTTCCCAGTGACTCAAAGTGAAGCAAGCTATAAGACGCACATTCTATAACTGGGCATAACTCTAATCATTTTTCGCGTTTCTTTCTTGGTTCGGAAACCTTTCAAAACCCACAAGGTGCTTTTGGTTTTTGCCCCCGTTGGAGATCTTTCGTCGCGACCGGTCCAAGGACCCAGAGAGATCCATCAGCCTGACGTCTTTCGAAATGCCAAAGCCGTAAAGGCCAGCACGTATGTGATTCTGGATGCACTCAACTTGGTGGCTCCCAGCCATCCGGTTCCTTAGCCTTTTAGCCTTTTAGTGTTTAGTGGTTGGGTTTCCATTTAACCGTCACTAAAAGTTAGTCACTTTTCGCGGGGGATCTGAAAACGGGCAGCCCAGTCAATTGGTTTGGCTTCATGGCTTGGGAGGTTGAACCCCTGGTTCTGGTAGATGGGAAACCACCCCTTTGCCACTAAACCAATGCAAAGCACCAAGAGGGGAAAGCTGAGTGGCGAGCTCACCGATTGGGTAAAAATGAGGTCATGCCGGTCTGCACTTGCAACTGTTATTTCAGGTTGTGGAATTTCTTGTAAAGAGGTGATGGCATAGGTGTCCTTTTTGGTTGTTTTGCTAGAAATATAGATGGCCCTGGTTTACCTGGTGGTTTAATCATCTACCAGGGCCATCTATTTCCCCTAAAAGGACACCTGTGGGTGAAGGGATTTTGTGAGGCCCCAGAAGGAATGCAAAATCTGTGTGGGAGAGGATACAGGCTGTCCGACTTGAAGGAACCTATGTGGTTGTGCTGGATGAAAGGATGCCAAACATGCCATATTGGTCCATGCTTGACTTTTTGGGCACAGCTTCTAAGTCAAAACCAAGCTGCCTACGTCGAAGTTTCGGGCAAGGAACAAGTTCCCTGCGGTTGTTTTCGACGTTTTACATCTCTTAACCCAACGCCTTACCAAACCGAGTTGTTTGTTTCAGACTGCGAAATATACGCGGCATCCCTCTCCGGCTTGGGAGAGCCAGGAAATCCGCCCCCATTTCGGGCGGAGAGTTTGAGGGCCTGGTGGCTGTCTTGGGTAAATTGAATTCAGACTCGTTTGATTCTTTGCTAGGACATGTGGGATTTTGCGTTGCCCGCGTGCCACTTCACTTGAGAAACAAATTGAGCACTTTTGCCGTTGCACCTGTTGAAAAACGTTCGTTCAATCTTGAGTCCATCAGGCACTTAAGCATCTTTGCTTAGAAGTCGAAGAACACCGGGGGGGGGGAGTTCCTCAAAGAGAGACGGCAAGCCAGCCGTTTTGTTTGAGCCAGCACAAGGGTTACAAATATGGTTTCGGCACTTGCCTCCCACCAACGAACGTGGAAGTGCACCGGAGTCTTGCGCGCCAAGCCATGTTGCCCGGTAGTTCATAGGGAGCGACATGTTGTTTCCATTTCGTGCGGCGAAGAGTCGGGCGGGTTTGGTTCAGCCGGCCAGCCGTCGCCAGGTCAGATAGTCATGCCGGGTGCAGCCACTGAGCTTGCGGCTTTACACCTCAGCTCTTCAGGCGAAGAATTCGGGTTTCGCCACTTGTGGCCGAAGGGGTTTTCCAGGCTTCCATTTGGTTAATAAGTTGTTTTTGTTTTTTTAAGCAATTTTTCCCCTGTTGGTTTTAACGTTTAATGGGAATCTATCACTACTGGAAATGTGTTGTTTTTTTCCAGGGGACTTAAGCAAATGGAGGCAGGGAGAAAGTGACTGGATCAAGAGCTACTTTGAGACTGGGTATTTTTGACAAGGGTAGGCTAAAACTGGCTGAAGCTGGCCAGATTCCCACGTGTTTGGGGAGAGTTCCGAAAACCAAGAGTCACCAAAAGGAGCCACCCCACCATGTTTGCGAGAAAAAACAACAACAACAACAACAGAAACACACAAGGACTTTTCCCGGAAGGGGGGGGGCTTCAAATGGCCGCTCGAGTTCTGTGCTTGGAGCCAAAGAGCCAAGGGAAGCACTGACCAATTCCGCGTGCGTGCTGCGAGACTTACCCTCAGTTGCCCACAGCGAATAGACCTGACCAGTTGGTCTTCCCATGTTGGTCCATATTAAGTTAGGGTCGCAAAAAGCTAGCCCAGTTTTATGTCCAGGCCATTGGGCAAGTGAGTACTTGCTGCAGATACACTGTCAGAGACGTGTCTTTGCCTCAAAATGCGAGGAGAAGGGAGGCGTGCGCAGACATATGTCCCTTTTGTTTTCATGCAGGTTCCTCCCTTCCCCTGCGGGTTGGGGTTCAGATCCTAAAAACCATATGGCCCGATGGTCAATTGCCCCCTTGGTTCTGAGTCTATGGGTGTGTGCGTGTTTGTTTCAGAGTGCCGTTGGCTTGAAGTACAAGCCTACCATTTTGGGGGCCCTTGAGAAAACACACATCCACATGAGAAAGGCAAATCGGAACCAAAACCAGGCAACTATGTTGATTCGCGCAGCGCTGTCTGCCAAACAGGTAGGCAGCGTTGTGTTTTTTGCCGGTGAATGGACGTCACCGCTGGACGCTCCTTGAGGCAACCCAGAACCAGCTGCGCGGCGCTTAGACTCACATGAGCTTCTTTGCATTCCATGGCCTTCCCATTAGATGTCTTCACAAATTTCTGGGGAGAGACTTGTGTCATAGGCTAAGGCTTTGATCTCGCAGTGTTCGTGGTTGCCTTTTTGTTTGCCCGGATGCTCGCCCGGGAAGAACCAGAACACTTTCTATTGTTCAGGGCTTAAATAGTTTCGAGATCTTGATTTAAGAACAACTTTTTATAGTAGACATCCCATTGATAAAAGCAGATCCAACATTGTTGGCCAAGGGCTATAAAGACCCTTACACTTCCGCAGGCTAGGGCTAGCTTCACGGGAGCACTGAGGAACCAATAATTGCCGATCAATTGCATTGATGCCCGCGTATTGTATGGAGAGCGAAGTCAGAGCTCACAATGTAGCTTGTTTACTTGGGGAATCCTTGGCTCAAGTTTTGGAATAGTAAAACTTCGAGGGGGGGTTCGAACCATCTTGGGATTGGTTCGGGGGAGTTGAGCCATAGCCTTCCAAATCACGAGCCAGGGCGCTAGGAAGCTTACTTTGAACGGTTGTTTTAGAAGAAGAACATATGTTCAAGATATTTTGAGGGGTGCAGTGCTGGGAAATGAGAGCTCGCAACCACAAAGCAAGCCGTTTGTGCCGGCCATCGGGCCCTCGTAGCCAATCGTTCAAGTTGATATTCGGCATTGTTCGGCTGAGTGCTGGCCACAACCCAAGGGAAATCAGGTAGCTGTTTTGATGGGTGCTTTTGGGAATTGAACCTACGAAACCAAATCACCGAACAAGGGGAAGCTGAGGACAGTGCAAGTAAGCACCCCAGGTGCTATGTCCCGTCGCATGCGTTGTTCTTTTCTTTTTCAGGTTCGTTGGCACGGAAATGGGCCAAACCAGCAATGGTTCCCGCTTTCTACCGCTCGGTCACTGGGCAAACTGGGACCCTGTGTTGCATTCTCGGTGGCTTCCCTGTGAAACAATTGCAGGAAGGAGAAGGTGAAACGCTCGTTTGTTGAAAACGCGCGTGGCATCCGGTCTAGGATACTCCGGTAAAAATCGCTCGCTTGCAGCGGGATGAATGCCGGGCACCAATTGGTGTGTTATCGATCCCAAGCATGGCTTGGTGAACACATTTACCCGCACGGGTCCAGTGCACTAGGCTGAGTTTCACCAGCTGATCGAAAAGGTGGGCATGCTGAGTTCGAGTTTGGCGCCGGCATGTCCCTTGGCATGAAAAGATATGGATTGCCTTTGAAGAGACTTCGCGAACAAGGATGTGACAGGATGTGTGTGTGTGTCTGTGTTTAGCCATGGCCAAGTGAGAGTAGATTAGGCGAAGTTGGAGATGCTCAGATTGACGCACGCCTGCGTGCTGATTTCCTGAGCGCATAGAGGGGTTGCATCTCCGGGGGTTGACATGAGTTCAGCTAACGGCGGCCCTTCCTTTGAGGTACCAAGTGACGCAACACCCTTAACGGGCACCAGTTCAGTAATCCTATTGCAGCTGATGTGATGTTCGAGGTTACTTTCAGTTTGGCTCCACAACTTCTATTGGCCCACCTCGGTTTACAAGATTTGGAGTAATCCTGAACGTGACTTCTGTCATGCAAGCGAACACCTTGAAAGTCACGAGGCTTGAGATGACCTGTCTTCAAACAACCGGGCTCCTTAAAAGATACATTTTGCCCATTTGAAACATGTGGCTTTTTCCACCAAAATAGAGGACAACCACCATTTGTATAATGTAAGGATCCCTGAACAACCTTATGTTCTTCCATTTGCCTGATATGTGCTATTTTCGCCTGTTGGTTTAGAGGGAACCTATCACTGGACATATCTAGAAACCCTCCAAACGCAAATGAGAGTTGTGTGGTCTCGTTCGGAATTTCTGGGCTACGCCACCCGGCGACTTGACCCAGTTCCCGGGGGAGTTCGGCAGAGTCCCCCGAAAGCGGACATGGGGTTTTCGCCACACCTGGTTGGGAGGTGATGCCTTGGGATGTCCTTTCAAGCCATTCCGAAAAGTGTGTTTTTCAAAATGAGGGGGTTGTCAAGGAGAGCGCAAAGCCCTTTTTGCCCAGGCTTAGATCTTTCTTATCTGGGGCCTACTTATGAAGTCAACAACCAGTTGTTTGGGCCCACGAAAGGTAGAAGAGCAAAAACCGGCATGGGTTCGAAACAAGAATGGGTTCCAAAGCTTGTGGATGAAAGTGCGCAGAAAACTTCGCCCAACCGACAAGTCTGTGAAGTTCAGGTTAGACAACTTGGAAGTCAGCTAAATGGTTGCCAACCCTGGTTGTAACCCACTTCACGGGAACTTACTACCAACCACCTCGCGATTCGTCCCAGACCACCCAAGCACTTATCCTGATTACCTTGAAACAGAACAAGGAGTCCAACCCTGCGTGGGTATTCTAGGAATAGTTGGGTTGGCTAACCTGGGAGTAACATAGAGCCTGGCGCCAAGTTCGGCCAATTGAAGGGCTTGGGTTTTTGAGGCCCCCTGCAGGTCAAAGACCCTTGCGTTCCATGCTAATCTGCGTATGGAAACCCGCTCCGGGTGAGTCTGAAATTCAAGTTTCACAAATCCTGGTCTTTGCTAGGGATTGGGTGCACCTTTTCAGCCGACTTTCCTTGGAGTTGGTTGGGTAGAGAATGCACGCATGAGAATTCCCACCGCACCGACCAGTGGCTCAAGCCGCCGTGCTGGGCGCCGTTTGGCGCTGGGGAGAACCCTCGTGTAGCTTGGAATCAGCCGAAAGGGGTCCCCAGGCCCACGTCAGGCGCGTCAGCCTTTCCACTGGTCCCCTAGCTGCGGAGAGCGCGCGACGGACTTAGGGACGTCTCGTCAACGGAAGGCGCTAGGATGCCAGCCATGTTGCCATATGGGCAGATGGAGGCAGGGAGCTGAACATTCTGGGTTCCCTTTTTGGACTACCCCAAGGTTTGCCTTTTCCCAGGTGGTTCCCTTGTTGGGGAAATCAACCACCCCTGGGTTTAAGTCCACTTTGGGGTTGTCAAAAAATTGAACCCTGTGAACATTTGGTACTCTCGCTTCAGGCGGGAGATTTGGCTTCCGAGATGTTGCTTTCACCCTAACGCCCAGCGGCTTGTAAATAACCCGGAAGGTTATTCCCTTGCTATGTGCTGGCCACTTAAAGCCTTTTTGACATACGGTACCCCCCCCCCCTAAAAAAAAAAAAAACAGAAAAGAAAGAAAGACAACAAACACAAACAAGCTAAAAAGCAACACACACCAGAACACAACCATTCAAAAAAGCAGGCGGTTGCGTGTTGTGGGTTTCACTTTGCCAGCCAAAAGACTATGGTAGGGCGGACAGTGTTGTCTCCGGATTAATAACTTCCTGCTTGTTAACCTGCGCATGTCCCTGGGTTAGTGGGGAATCATCATTTTGGAGTTAATAGGCAGGGGTTATTAATATGGGGTCAACGTTCGGGGCATAGGTGTCCTTTCTTTTTTTTTTGTTGGTCAGTTTGGTTAGAAATAGATGGGTCTCACTGGTTTAGATGGGGTTTATGCCATTTACCAGGGAAGGCCACCTATGATTAGGTGGATACTTCCACCTTCCAGGAGTTGCTCAAGGCGACCCAGGAGGAGTTCAGAAACCTCCTGGCGCTCGCGGAGGAGCAGCGCTTGATCTGGGCCGTGCCTTTTCGGCAGAAAGCCCTGGGGCGGGGGGCTTAGATTCCGCTCCCCCTACGAAAAACGTAATATGACTGCGGGTCAAAAACATGTACCCAAAATGGAATCCCGGTAAATGGAAACATGGACAAAAACCTGCGGTCCGCTGGTGGTTTAATTTGGACCCATACCCAGATGTGTTTGTTATGTCCCTTGGGTCATGCGCTTCCTTTTGGCCCCTTAAAAAGCAGCACTTTGTTTTGAACAAGCCCCTGCTCCCCCCGAACGGAAGCCCAAATCGCCAGAACCCTTAAGCACTCAGATGTGGCGCAAGCACCCTTAAGCGCCCAGGCGGAGGTCATGCAGGCAAGCCAGCGGCTGACTGCCATGCAAGGGGACAACTTCTCCGAAGATGGAGCCTTGGCTCCAGCAGGAAACCACAAGGAGCTTGTGTTTTTGCCAGTGTTTGTTTGTTTTTTGAGGCGGGGAAAGTTTTTTTTTTGTTGTTTTGTTGTGTGTGTGTGTGTTTTTTGTTATTATTTTTCTGGGGGGTTGTGGGGGCTTTCTGTTTGCCATGTTCGTTGGGTTTCTGTTTGCCAGGTGGTTGGCGCTGTTGGCCAATCTGTGGCGCGTTTTTCCAATTCAATCTACAGGAAAAACAACAACTGGCCGTGGGTCAACACCAATGGTACCATTTGGGGGTAGGTGAACCACCCATTTTAGTCTATTTCAGTTGGGATTGGGATGTTCACTGGGGGGTACGATTTGGGTTTTGACCCATAGCCAACTAGCTTTTGTTTCCATGGGCAAAGGCCCTCGAGGCTTGGGACTTGGGTTGGTCCAAAGCCAGAGGTAGGTGGCAACATTGTGTTCCACCTGTCTTTAAATAGAGCGCCGAAAAAAAAAGAAGAGATTATGTTTTCCCGTTTGGTTTCCCTTCAAAGAAGCCGCACGGAGGGTACCGGCGCAAAAAAAGAGAGACCCCACCTGCACATCGAACCGGGGGATGGGATTTACCCTCGTATAGGTATGCCAAACTACCCTGGCATACCAGATCCGTTCACGCGAAGCATCTCTCATCATCGGGATATTCAAAGTGTCCTTAATAGCAAGATGATCCCTCAACCTCACCCTCAATTGAAAATGTAATCCGCAGGTTCACATCGAATTGTTTTATTGTCTTGCGGGTGACCCCCAACTGAGTATGATACCGGGGCGGGGGTGTCCGCATACTCCCTGACCCACCCACTTCCCCCCTCCTTCTCGAGAACTCCCCCTGAATGTGTGTCATATACCAGGCTTTATTGCTTACAGCCGCGAATTGTGACACATTGCATGTACTGGAACCATATGGGACATTTTCTTCAGTTAAAATTACCGGACCAGGGTGAGCACATGCCATGTGCCAGACGGGGATTTATGTTTGACTTCTGGCCGCAGCACCCACATCTTCCTGGTGCCCTTTTTTCCTTTTTTTGGGGGAAGGGTGTCCCTTTAAACTCAACCAACAACAAGAGGGTACCTTTTTTTCCTATGGCTACTGGGCATCTGAGTCCTAGATTCACTGGCAAACGGTGATGCTTGCGCCCACGTGACCAGTTTCCTTTCTACCGATGTTTTTTGTTTGCTTCGCCGCGGCTTGACTTTGAGCCACGGTGGATGCCTCAAAGCGTGCAAAGCAGGGAACATGTTGGACTGGCAAATTCTCATGGGCTGTGGTTGGTTCACTTGCAATACGCCGGGGGCATTTACCAGTATGGGCTTGTCCACATGCTTCAGTCCACTTGTTTCCTACAGGCAGTTGCACGGAGAGCACCGTGGGGCGGGACGACACCTTGCGCACCATGAGCCCCACGCGGAAGCCCAACTTGATGGCCGCCGCCGGCGTGGAGCCCCGCCCGGAGCCGGACGCGAAGTCGGAGTCGGAGCCGGCCAGGGAGGCACGGGGGAATTTCGGGGGTTCGGGTTCTGAGGGGCTGAAGTCGGGGGCTGCAAAACGTCTGGGGGCATGTTGGCCCATGTTCAAGGAGGGTATGGCACAACCCTCATGGCACCTGTAGAATTAGGAAGGACCGATTTGGAGGCTAAAACGGGGAAAGCTAAAGGAAGCCTGAGACGTGCCATAGAAAAATCCGAACACTTAAATGTAAATACATTTGAAGTTGCACCAAGGGCTATATATCTAGTTGGTGTCGGCGTTTGGCCTGAGATTCCTCTTTATTTGTGGATGGCATCCTGGGGGCCCAGAAGGCTTGTCTACATTGAAAACTGAGCACTTGGGTTCATTTGTTATCTTCTCCTAGGTCCCCCAATGCCCTTTTACCCTTTTTGGGGGAGGGTTGCCCCACTAAAATAGACTACAGAAAGAAAGGGTACCCTTATTCTAACCTCTCTACTGGAGGACCTAGTCTCCATCTTCAGGAGAGCTTTCTGTTTGCCCGGTCCTTTTGAATCAGCGTTCGCCAACAAACTTCCTTTAACAAATGCTGCTATATCGATCTACCGTTGTTTTATTGGAAACGCAATTTCATCATAGTATGTAACTTTATCCTGTTCTTTTCCGATTGGACTCTGATTGAATTAGTTTGCAGATGAATTAAGTAGCCCTGCCTGCTTTGATTTGAGTCTTTTGATTTTTGCATTTGTGTGAGGCATTTATTTCATCTAGGCCTTTCTCCTCCAAGCCGTCTCTTTTGGAAAATCGTAGTGGTAGGATGGAAGCCGGCCCCCACAGGGGGTGTCCAATGGAGAGGTCTTCCAATTCAAGCCCAAGCTCTTGTTTGGCCCAAGCCTGGCTGATGTTCTTGGTGGGGTGATGTTTGTGGAGGTCCAAAATGGGCAAACACACACACACGCACCCACCCAGCCAGCCAGCCACCCACCCACCCACGCACGCACGCACACACACAGACAGAAACGCACACACAAACGCACACACACACGCACACACACAAACACTTCAGTCGCCCACACACACACACAGACACACACAAACACACACACACAAACAAAAACAAACACAAAGACAAGCACAAGCACAAGCACAAACACAAAGACAAACACAAAGACAAACACAAACGCAAACGCAAACGCAAACACAAACGCAAACACAATCACAATCACAAAGAACAAGCACAAGCACAAGCGCGCGCACACACACACACACACGCACGCACGCGCACACACGCACGCACGGCACGGCACGGCACGGCACGCACGCACGCAACCACCCACCCACCCACACACACACACACACCCACGCGCGCACGCGCACGCACGCACGCACGCACGCACACACACACACAAAAGCACACACAAAAACACACACACACACACACACACACACACACACACACACACACACACACACACACACACACACACACACACACACACACACACACACACACACACACACACACACACACACACACACACACACACACACACACACACACACACACACACACACACACACACACACACACACACACACACACACACACACACACACACACACACACACACACACACACACACACACACACACACACACACACACACACACACACACACCACCCACGCACGCACGCACGCACCCACCCACCCACACACACACACACACACCCACCCACTCACCCACCCACCCACCCACCCACCCACCCACCCACCCACCCTGTAGGTGCGTGCGTGCGTGTGTGCGTGCGTGCGTGCGTGCGTGCGTGCGTGCGTGCGTGCGTGCGTGCGTGCGTGCGTGCGTGCGTGCGTGCGTGGGTGCGTGGTGGGTGGGTGGGTGGGTGGGTGGGTGGGTGGGTGGGTGGGTGGGTGGGTGGGTGGGTGGGTGGGTGGGTGGGTGGGTGGGTGGGTGGGTGGGTGATTGTGATTGTGATTGTGATTGTGGTTGTGGTTGTGATTGTGATTGTGATTGTGTTTGTGTTTTTTTTGCGTGCGTGCGTGTGTGCGCGCTTGTGCTGGTTCTTGTGATTGTGTTTGCGTTTAAGTTTGTGTTTGTCTTTGTGTTTGTGCTTGTGCTTGTGCTTGTCTTTGTGCTTTTGTATTTGTTTGTGTATGTGTGTGTGTGTGTGCGTGTTTGTGTGTCTGCGTGTGGGCGTTTGAAGTGTTTGTGTGTGTGCGCGTTTGTGTGTGTGTGTGCGTTTCAGTGTGTGTGTGTGTGTCTCTGTGTGTGGCTGGGTGTGTGTGTGTGTGTTTGTGTTTGTGTTTGTGTGCATGCGTGTGAGTGGTTTAAACATCACTTTGTAGTCCACCTTTTGAAGTTTCTGCTTAGAAGGGCGATTTTCGAATGGGAAGTTCTAGGGCCTTCGGCTCACTCCGCCGACATTGTCCTCTCCCTTTTCTGCTTCTTCCTCTCTTTCTTTTCCCTTCGCCCTTTTGTTCCCTCGTCCTCTCTCTCTCTCTCCCTCGCTCTCTCTCTCTTTGTTTCTCTCTGTTTCTCTCTCTCTCTCTCTCTCTCTCTTTCTCCTTCTCTTTCTCTTTCTCTTTCCGCTTTCCTCTCTATGCCCCTCTCTCTCTCCTCTCTCTCTCTCTCCTCCTCTCTCTCTCTGTCCTCTCTCTCTCTCTCTTTCCCTCCCTCCTCGCCATGCCTCTCTCTTTCTCTATCTCCTCGCTCTGGCAAAGAGCAGGCAGGAGGATTCGAGCCTGGGACCCCTCTTTCTCCCCCGCTCCCCGAAAAAGATGTTTAGTAGAGCAACGTCAGATTGCCGCGCGGTATGTAAGGACCCCCCCCCCAAAAAAAAAAAAAACACACAAAAACATACGTATCAGATGTCGGGCGGGGGGGAGGCGTTTAGGGGAGGGGGGTATCCTCTATGCTCCCTTTAGGTATCTGACACGCCGAGCAATGTCGGCGGATACAGGAAGAGTAATGGTTGGTAACCCGGGCTGTTTCTAGCTTGGAAGCGTGGCAGAGCCATGAGAGGGTGGCGTAGACTCCTCCTGTAAATGGACAGATTCACGTTCTTGCTTCTGTAGATGGACAGTCCTTCAGAAGTCGGTAGCTGTCGTATCCCAGTCAAATTTGGCTTCATGGTTTGCCCATTGTCCGGCCAATCCTGAAAGCCATGAAAGGGGTGTTCCTCAATGAAGCCCATGGAAACTTCCATTTGCTTAAGAAAATGGTTTATTTCCCCCGCTTGGTTTTAAAGGGAATCCATCACTTACGGAAATATGTGTTTTTTCCAGGGCACTTAAGCAAATGGAATCCTGGAAGGAAAGGTCTGTGCCTCTCTTTGGTGCCGCTCACAGGCATTGGCCACGCGGGCGCGCTCCAATGAGCGCCCCGCGCGGGCGATGGCAGTGCCCTCGAAGGACAGCGCGCGGGCAGCGCCCAAGTACCCCGAGCGGTCCGAGCCTGTGGTGCGGTCCGAGCGCGTGGAGCGGCCCGAGCGTGTGGAGCGCCTTGAGCGTGTAGAGCGGCCCGAGAGTATGGAGCGGCCCGAGCGTGTGGAGCTGGCGCCGAGTGGGCGAAAGGAGGAGAAGAAGCCTTCGAAGGAGAAGGCGGGACCCGTCTTGTCAAAAAAGGGGGCCAACCTGGGACCGCCTCAGGGTCCTCTAAGAATTAGATACTCACTTCCCGAGTTCCTGGACTTTGTACTTTCTGGCAAGACCACTTTGGTGCTAAACGCAAAGTTGAGATTTGTTTGGGCCATCTAAGCCCCCTTAGAAAAATGTCCTCGGGAAGGTCGTCCACAGAAGTTCCCTCCGGCAAAAAGGATCCAGTCTTTTTCCCCGAGCCAGAAGGGATCTTCTACATCGACGGGTGGGCCAACGGGAGCAGCAGCTGCGTTGGATTGGTTCAAGGAGAAAGCTTCCCCATAGAGCGAGTTGTTGCCCAAAAAGAAGGCTTGTCAACCCATCTAAGCAGCACTCCATGGCCTTTTTTTCAGCTTTTGGGTGCCCTTGGAGTCTCTGTTTTGGGGATGAAATGAAGAAGTTGAAGTAAAGCACCCAACAGTTCTGCGACTTGTCTGCGCAGTCAGCACAGATGAAACCTGGAGGCTCATGTTACCAAAGTGGCTTCCCAGCGTGCGTGATGCAAGGCTCGGACCATCAATCCTTATCATCTCGCCCAGGAAAAACAAGGGGTGCCTACATTAGCTAGTGCCTTTTAAACTGAGTTTCCTTGTTTCCCTTGGTGTCTACGGGGAAAATCTGGGGAACCCCAAAAACACTCCATGTCTTCAGGACGATGACGTCCACTCCCGAGACTCGCACATCTCCAAGGCGCGTTCCGGCCCATCCAGGAAGTGAGAGACACGCCTTTGCCATGGGACGCTCTGTGAGGAAGACCTAGGATCTTGGATCCACCCCTAGAACATTTCAAAGTGTTTCCAACAACTTAAATTTTGTTGGCATGGCCAGGATCCAGATTCGGTGGACGTTTTCTGTACTAGTTTTGGATCTTGGATCCGGCCCGAAAACAGTTTATTTGTGCCTATGTGGAGGCCCTTCTTGTTTGATTCCGGACGTGCCCAGCTTGAACCCCTTCTTTTGAAGGGAACCATGACATGCACGGTCCTTTTGGAGCAACAAGGATCTGGACAAATGCTGACAAGTCGACATTCCATGACGGACACAACAGCACCTTGAAGGGAAAGGCCTGGAGGGAAAACCAATTTTTAAGCTCTTTGCAACCTCCATAGCTCCAAAACCCAGATGTGAAAGCGCACTCGAGACCACAATCGTACAGTTCTCGTTTGGGATTCCAGGGCCTATGTTGAGGAGTGCCCCTATTTTGACCTTGCCTATTTCCCGCCGAGTGATAGTGATGGGAGCTTCCGAGGCGGACTCGGACGCCGCCAGCGTCCAGAGCGGCAGCAGCGCCGGCAGCGACGCCAGCGACGCCAGCGGCGTGTCGAATGGGACGGACACCTCGGAGGTGTCGCAGACGGGAAAGAAGAGGCCAGGGGGTCCGGCGGTTTTACACCGCCCCGGGTGGTTTTCTTCTAACGCCAACACGGAAGTGCGCAGACGCCTGTAGAAAGATTACGTTCATCTTGGAAAGGGCCTTTTTGCACTTTCATGTTAGTTGGTGGGAGGGTAGTCACTTGGAGGGGTTCGGGGTCCCGCAATGCTTCTTTTGGTTGTTTTCAGAAAGATGTGGTTTGAACAGCCGAACAGGAAGCCAACCACTTGGATGGGAGCCCCCATTCGCCAAGGTTTCGAGCTCGATCTGTGGGGTCAACAGGGCGAGTTTGTATTTCAGGCTTTTATTTCAGGTTTTCATAGCTAGCCAATGCCTTTGTGCGGGCGGGGGGTGGTACTTGGGCTATTTAGCTCTTGAAGAGCTTTTTAGGCCACTGAGGTAGATGGGTTTCTCCATCCGTATAAAATGGCTCCCTTCTATGATCTCCTGCGTGATGCTGGTTCATGAGTCCAGCTTTTGCAAGCACCTTCCGTGCAATGCCTTGCTCCATGGAATGCATGCAGTTTTGCAATTCATTGGGTTGGTTGGCATTCAGTGAGGGCAGCCTTGCAACCAGCAATTGATTGCAACTTCATTTGGTTGAAGGTGCCATAGTTACCCCACGACCCATTCCAATCATTTGGACCCTACAATATTTGCTCCACAACCTGACTCAAAGCGTTTGGCCCTAGGACCGTTGGGTCGGGTGTTGGCACTCTCCCTTGAGCCAGGAAAAAGAGCAGAGGCGTGCCTCGGCATGCCAAGTGGCGATCTGGGGGGGGGGGGGGGCGGTGGGGGGGGGAGCAACGAGCTCCATGAAGGACCTCTCTTTGAGTTTCCCCAGGTGGAAGTGCTTTGAAGGTGCAAAGGTTTGAACTTTTGGAGCTATGGGAGAACAACTGTCGCGAGGCTCGAACGAAACTTTCACTCCGAAATTTGGAGGGGACAAGGTTGCCGACGTAAGAGCATGTTTTTCAATTTCTGGATGGTTTCGACAGGTAACCAAAGATTTGTGTGGTCAAGGGTCATGTTCAAAAACGGATCGGCGGCTTTTGTGGAGCTAGTACTCCGGAGTTTTGGGCATAGCACTCGACGTTTTTTTGTTTTTATTGTTTTTTCTCCTGGAGCTAGGGGCATGGCACATTGATTCAAATAGCTTGGAGAAGCCAGCGATTTGCACGCGTCATATGGCTTTACACATTCCAGATGTGACTTTCCCATGCTTCCCCGTCACCTTTCCATTTGCAGGCAGTCCTGAGTGGTTAATCGTTTACCGCCATACAGATGAACGTAGACCTCCCTCAAAGAGGAAAACATGCTTAGAGGTATCTTCATTTCGGGCCACCATTTTTGGTTTCTATGTTGATTTTCAGGTATCTATTCAAAGTGACTTGATTGAAAAGAACATCGCGCCCACTTCCGTACATTTCCTCCAACATCACGGGATTGTTTCCACTAGATTGCCAAGGGGGACCCCCCGCCATCAACTTACCCACTGGAAATCCGCTGGAGTTGTTTTGTTTCCAATGCCCTTTTCCCCTATGGGATCTCACCGGCCTCGAGCCCAGGGGCAGAAGACCAAGAGGGACAGTAAGGACACCATGGGCTTTCTGTTGGACGACGAGAAGCCGCCGCTGCTTGGAGCAGGGTTCCCGTTAATTGGCTCCGGTTTCGCTTGTGGTGTCCATTTCCAGAGGGGTGCCTATATTGTGCTTTTTTGTTTTCAAGATGATCTTAGGGCCTGAACTCGAGTAACTTGCACAGCGCTTCCAGTTGCGACTAAAGTAGGTAACTTGTTATTGTTGCCTCTAAGATTTTTAGTTGATGCTTTTCCCTGATCACCTACAACACCTGTACCTGGAAGCATTTTTATAGATTCGACCTTTTAAACTTTGGATTTAAACTCGAGGTCCTAAACGGTTGAGTGCTTTTAATCTTGGGTCCTTTGGTCAAGGCCACTCAATTTGGGCATTCTCTCGAGTACCCTTGTAGTCTTCTTTCGGAGGGTGTTTCCATTTGTCCATGTCCACTTGGGGTTTGGGTTCAGGTGGGTTGTTTGCAAGTGAACTGAACATTACCACGGACATACAGTATGTCGGACTAGGCCAGTCTATGCCTTGGCCCCACTGACAGTCCCCCTGCGCTGGGGGCAAGACACATCTTGAGATCAACGAGCCGGGGGTCACCCCAGCTAGCCATGATGAAGTGCCTGCACTCGCAGATCCAATGCTTTGTTCAGGCTATGCATATGCGTATATCTATATAGACACCATGATACCATGATGGGTATCTGCAAAAATAGGGAGACCCCAAATTGATTGTTTTAGTTGGGACCTCAAACGGGGTTTTCTCAGAAAAGCAGCCAACCGCATGATGTGCCCCCCAACGCCTGCGAGGCCCGATCTCTAGGATCGCTGCTCGATGTTTCGCGAGGCTCCCCAATTTGTATTGTTTTAGGCGTTCCTTCCTCAAAATGGCCGGTCATGAATTTCAGTACACCCCCTGAAAAGCGGTTGGTGGACATATCTCCCCGAAAGGATGTCCAGCAACGGGCCTGGTACTCGCGTTCATGCAACAGAAGGTCTGCTGCGCGCTTAAAAAGCACACGGCTGTTGACACCTTGCCAGGAAGGCATATTCCTGTCTCCCTAAGGATGTAAGTAAGGGACCCCCACTGAATAATTCGTGTTTTCCCAGAAGAGCGTTTATTCTTTTCGGGGTTCCTTAGGTTCAGGTGCATCCGCGTTTAAGAAAAGAAAAGAAAGAAAAAAACAACAAAGAAACAAACCACGAAAAAAAAGGGGGGGGGGGGGGGGGAAAAACGAGACACACACTCGCGCTTTGCTCTTGGAATACAAAGATACTCGCGCTTTCCTCGTGAAGAGTTTCGATCCCAAACCTCCAGGGTGCAACGGTTCAGACTCCATCTCTCTTTTCAACGGGCATGGAACCGGCGGGTCGCTTATGGAAATGGGGGGAAAATCGCGAAAATGTATCGACTCCTGTCAAGTTGGCTAGACTAACTGTCGTGCTCTCGGACCTGGAGCTTTTTTTTAATAAAATAAAAGAAATGGGAAGCATGGTTTTATTCTTAGGGGGAGCTTCATCATTACGAAGGGATTTGTGGAATGCGTGTGCTTCTCATTTCAAGGCCCGGCTTTTTAACATTGGGAACCCCTCGGTTGCGTCACTTTGCGTGATGGCAAGGGAAGCCCCTTTGAAGCGACAAATTCGCCGCACTGTGAATGTGGATGGACGAAACCTTGCACCTCCCAAGAAACCCTGGAATGGTGATTCCCCTGTAAATCTCCACCAACAACAGTTTCAACCATGGTTTCCAAGTGGGGGCAAAATGGATTTCGTCCATCCACAGTCGGGATGAGACTCCCACGTTGGTATCGCAAGAACGTTGTGTTCCAGACGGAGGAACTCCTATCTTGCTGGTGCGATAGGTGGGGAATGACCTGCCACGTACTGGGAATGAACCGGCACGGATTTTTCTTAATCTCATTGTTCTTGGCATGTGTTTTGGTGTTTCGGTTTTTTGGTTCTGTTCATGTTTGCCGGGGGGGGCTGCCAAAAAAAGTGTTTTGCCACCAAGAGCTGTAGAGTTAAAGGACGCCATAGGCGGACACATTCCACGTGGAACCCGCCAAGCGTCTCAGGAAGCCGAGCAACAACACCTGGGAGTCAGTAGTGGCCAAGGGTACCAAGTACATGGACCACGTGGCAGGCCACATGATTCGCCCGTGGTTCAGCTCTGGGAGCTGGGCGGAGGTGCTGGACTGCCATTGGGCAACGGGTCTTTAGACTTTAACTGTTCGGGAACTCAAGGGGGTTTTCCACTAAACCCGCAAAAAGTTTTGTCTTTTTGCAGAGGGGTCAACAGCAACCAGGTGTGGTTCGGTATTTTTCGGGGCCTGCGACTGGAAGGGTCCCTCGAAACCACTATTTGGGGTAGCTTGGGCGAGACCCCCTGCATGAAAAAAGAAGCCTTCCAACATTCACAAAGGAAAGGCCAGTTGAACAGACCTCCTGGGGTTCATACTGAGGAGTCGTACCAGGAATCAGAAGTTTTGCTTCTCTATTGGTCGGGTAGGTTTTTCCCTTGCAAATAGGGTGACAAAGCTGCCAATAGGAAAGTTCCTTTGAAACCTCGGACTTCCGCCCTTTGGCCGGCGGCCAGTTTTTGGGGTTAGCCAGTACGGGTTGCTCTGTTCGTTCAAAAAGGGGATGGCAACCCAACGAATCAGGTTGACAACTCAGCCCATTGTCCAGTCTTAGCCGGGGTAGCAACCACAACCAACACCCCTTTAAGCTGAGAAGTCTCCCAAAGACGGGTTTCAAGGGTCACCCTCTGTTCTCAGGGCAGAAACCGGGGGCCCTGGTGGGTCCATGTCCAAAAGTCCGGTGCCATGCTTGACTGGTTCAAGGGCTCGGTTGATCCGTGGCAGGCCACGAAGGCAACCTGCAACTTGTCCCTTTCGTTTTTCCAAGGGTGGTTCTCATGGTTACCTAGCTTTCTGGCAATTTGAACCATTGGGGTATTGTTCGCAGTTGCTGGGGGTCTTTCCTATAAACTGAAAGGCTGACGGAACTCAAACAGGGGACCCAGCAGTTAAGACTCTTCTGAAAGCTGAATGCTTTTGTGATTATGAACAAATATGTGCCAAGTTGAACGGGTCGGGGTAATGTAGTTGGTTTAACCGTCACCCCACCGCTTCCCCCGTGGTTTCTATCATGGAGAACAAAAATCCTTCGGCTGTTTCCGTGGGTAGTTTGTTCACATGTTGGAAGCAGTGCTGGCCGAAAGCTCCAGTTTCACCCATACGGTGAGACTCGGCACGTACCTCCCTGATTGCTCTTGGGCACCTCCCTCATGGCTCTGGTCGTGCCAGATCGAGGTCGGGTAGCACTCGCCAACTTGTAGCATGGGGCAAGTTGTTTTTTTTTGTCCAGTTGGTCTGGGACGCCAGTCGGGTTTGGCAGGGTAAAACACCTGAGCCATGGCTAGTGACTCAGCGATTCGTCCCATCAAAATCCGCCCCCTTGGGTGATTTTCCTGGTTTTGGACATCAGAGACGGGTTGCTCCAAGCCAAGGGCCTTATGGACTGTTGCCATCCCATGAGTTGACCGAGGGAATGTCTCGTAAATCGTAAAAAGTACTTCCCTGCTTAGTGGAACTCATAGGCGACCGCAGGGAAACGATGTTGCAAGCTTCTAGGGGTACCTTCCATTTTCATTCTTTCCAGGGATCCGAATTTCTTTTCAGGAAACCATCAAAAAGCCAGGGGAAACCGCCGGTTTTTGAAAAGAACGCGGGCTGAAAAGAATGGGGAATCAACCCCTAGAAACCTTCCCTCGCAAAGGCTTTTGGTTGGTTTTCCAATCCTCACCCCCGGTGTGATTTCTTTCTCACTTCGCTTCTGGATTTGACGCTTGGGAAGATCTGGCCAAAGGGGCTTCTGGTAGGGGGAAAAGAAAGGACCTGCCTTGGGGTGCGTGTGTTGTTTGTTCAAGGAACTTGCAGAGAGAGAGAGTTGGTTTCTTTCGGGCTGAATGGGTCACTGGGATCTCTTTTCAAACTAGTAGACATTTGAATGTTCATCAGATAGGGGCAAGAGTCACAAGTATGAGTTTTGGTTGGTTTGAGCTGGTCGCTTCCCATAAACCGATCAGCACGAATTAAGGGCTCCTTTGTCCACCGTTCGGGTCACTGGGTAACTGGTCATGATTTCTGAGTTCCAGGCGCACTTGTGCTGATGAACTCGATTTCCATGATGCTGCAGCTTGAGATGGAAGGAAGGACCATTGCGGCCAAGCTAGGCCGGAGTTGGCGCCAAGGGATTCCATGTACACTCCCCTGAGTTGATGGGCTTTCTTTTTTGGGAACTGCCCAGGCTTGAGGGACCGAGCAGATGTGCAACCCACTTCTTCGATATTGACCTGATGAACAGGGGGGGGGTTCCCAACATCTAAATTTGAACCAATGCAACTTTTGGGCCTGGCCTGTGACTCGAGGTGGTTCCATGGTACTGACTACGGACCTCCAAAGGACCCCAGCGCATGCAAATGAATATGTGTCAAAATGGGAACCTCGAAAATGGTTTGCCTCTTGGGTTCCTCTAAACCCAGGTACCAAGAGCATCCTCACTGCCTGCGTTCCTGGACTTTACGATTCTTGGGAAGACTGTGTTAGTGACAAATAAAGGGTCCAATCTTTCTTCGGCAACCCCTCTGAGGAAGTAAGATGAAGTATCCTCAAGAGAAACCCTCTCAAACCAGGCCAACTATGGCCTGTGCGCTTGGGAAGGATCCTGGGTGGTGTGTAGGGGGCAATGCCACCTCCCCCGAACACAGATTGTTGACTGCCATTACTGACAATCTAAGAACATCGGCTCGTGACCCTTTGCTTAATGGCACCCAGAATACGGATCGACTTGTTTTCCACATGTTGGCTCAAAACTAAGCAGGGCTTAGACTATAGGTTTTAGTCTACCTTTCTATTTCCCAGGGTTCCAGTTTGGACCCCATTGAGCCACACCGGCCACGTTTATTGTGCGTGCGAATCCATCCGCTCCTCGCGGTGCGCCTGGCGAAAAAAAATCGAGGCGTGCTGGAGGCCGAGAACTTCTCTGAGGCCTTGCCTGTTTTTGCCGTCATCGACGCCATCTTTGCGCCTCGGGTAGTTTTTTGTTTTTGTTTTGTTTGTGTCTCGGCATTTTAAGAGCACCCCCCCCCCAAAAAAAAAAGAGCTCCAACACCAATTAACATGGTACCTGACAGGAGGTTTCTTTCAGACCCCCCTGTCAGGTTCCATGTCAATTGGCGGGGAGTCAATAACAATAAAAACTGTCGGGTCCTTTTGCAGCTTCCCATATCGCGCGCGGAGCTTTATTGGTCGTCTTCCAAAAATGGACTCCCATGTTAATCTCAAACAACCCGTTGGTGGTTTGGATTCGTGGCTTGGGGATTTGAACCTGCGTTTCTGGTGGGGATATGGGCCCTTGGAGGGAAGCTGGTAATCAGAATGGGGGACCACCAAAAAGAAGAAAGTGGTTTTCCTTTCAGGTTCCCTTTGCCACCCCAAAACGGAACCCTCAAAAACACAAGCCCATGTTAATCAGGAGTGTAGCATGCAAATGTGTCGGCGTGCCGATGTTTGCCCAGGTGTGGATTTTCCTTGCGGAGCTGTTAATACGGCTCTGCGTGGAGCGTCGGCGCTTCCCCATGGATATCGCCAACTGGCTAGCAGCTCGGCCTGGCTCCTTGTGACCAATAGAAATGATAGAAATACCGTGGATGGACAAAGTCCTGCACCACTCAAGAAACTTTGAAATGATGCATTGTATTGGGAGAAGGGGTCTGCCTATTTCAACACCAGCCTCTAAGCCTCTAAGCCTCTAAGCCTCTAAGCCTCTAAGCCTCTAAGCGCCCAAGCCTCTTACTACTAATCAACAGCCGCGCAAGCCTCTAAGCCTCTAAGCGCCTAAGCTTATAAGCCTCTGCTCCCAGCGCCCGCTTAGAGGCTGAGAGGCGTGGAAGCGTGGAGGCTTGCGACTTGGGCCTCTACGAAGCCTCTAAGCGTCTAAGCGCCTATTCCAAGCGCCTAAGCCTCGAAGCGCCTAAGCGCCCAAGCCCCTATTCCAAATGCCTAAGCCTCTAAGCCAAGCCTCTAAGCGCCAAAGCGACTAAGCGCCTGAGCCTCTAAGCGCCTAAGCCTCCAAGCAGCGTGGCGGCTGGAAGCCTAGAGGCTTAGAGGCTTAGGAGCGTGGAGGCTGGATGGCTTAATTAGAGGCTTAGAGGCTTAGAGGCTTAGAGGCTTAGAGGCTTAGAGGCTTAGAGGCTTAGAGGCTTAGAGGCTTAGAGGCTTAGGAGCGTGCAGGCTTACGGACCTAGAGGTTCAAAGGCTTTGGAGCTTGCAGGCTCAGCGGCTGAAAGGCTTAGAAGCTGACAGGCTTGGAGACTTAGAGGCTTAGGGGCGTGGCGGCTGGAAGACTTAGAGGCTTAGAGGCTTAGGAGCGTGGAGGCTGGATGGCTTAATTAGAGGCTTAGAGGCTTAGAGGCTTAGAGGCTTAGGAGCGTGCAGGCTTACGGACCTAGAGGTTTAAAGGCTTTGGGGCGTGCAGGCTCAGAGGCTGAAAGGCTTAGAAGCTTACAGACTTGGAGACTTAGAGGCTTAGGGGCGTGGCGGCTGGAAGACTTAGAGGCTTAGAGGCTTAGAGGCTTAGGAGCGTGCAGGCTTACGGACCTAGAGGTTTAAAGGCTTTGGGGCGTGCAGGCTCAGCGGCTGAAAGGCTTAGAAGCTGACAGGCTTGGAGACTTAGAGGCTTAGGGGCGTGGCGGCTGGAAGACTTAGAGGCTTAGAGGCTTAGGAGCGTGGAGGCTGGATGGCTTAATTAGAGGCTTAGAGGCTTAGAGGCATTAGGAGCGTGCAGGCTTACGGACCTAGAGGTTTAAAGGCTTTGGGGCGTGCAGGCTCAGCGGCTGAAAGGCTTAGAAGCTTACAGGCTTAGAGGCTTAGGGGCGTGGCGGCTGGAAGACTTAGAGGCTTAGAGGCTTAGGAGCGTGGAGGCTGGATGGCTTAATGAGAGGCTTAGCTTAGAGGCTTAGAGGCTTAGAGGCTTAGAGGCTTAGAGGCTTAGAGGCTTAGAGGCATAGCGTGCAGGCTTACGGACCTAGAGGTTTAAAGGCTTTGGGGCGTGCAGGCTCAGAGGCTGAAAGGCTTAGAAGCTTACAGGCTTAGAGGCTTAGGGGCGTGGCGGCTGGAAGACTCAGAGGCTTAGAGGCTTAGGAGCGTGGAGGCTGGATGGCTTAGAAGCTTACAGGGCTTAGAGGCTTAGAGGCTTAGGAGCGTGCAGGTTTACGGACCTAGAGGTTTAAAGGCTTTGGGGCGTGCAGGCTCAGAGGCTGAAAGGCTTAGAAGCTTACAGGCTTGGAGACTTAGAGGCTTAAGGGCGTGGCGGCTGGAAGACTTAGAGGCTTAGAGGCTAAGAGGCTTAGAAGCGTGCAGGCTTACGGACCTAGAGGTTTAAAGGCTTTGGGGCGTGCAGGCTCAGCGGCTGAAAGGCTTAGAAGCTGACAGGCTTGGAGCGTGGAGGCTGGATGGCTTAATTAGAGGCTTAGAGGCTTAGAGGCTGAGAGGCTTAGGAGCGTGCAGGCTTACGGACCTAGAGGTTAAAGGCTTTGGGGCGTGCAGGCTCAGCGGCTGAAAGCTGACAGGCTTGGAGACTTAGAGGCTTAGGGGCGTGGCGGCTGGAAGACTTAGAGGCTCAGAGGCTTAGGAGCGTGCAGGCTTGCGGACCTAGAGGTTTAAAGGCTTTGGGGCGTGCAGGCTCAGCGGCTGAAAGGCTTAGAAGCTTACAGGCTTAGAGGCTTAGGGGCGTGGCGGCTGGAAGACTTAGAGGCTTAGAGGCTTAGGAGCGTGGAGGCTGGATGGCTTAATAAGAGGCTTAGAGGCTTAGAGGCTTAGAGGCATAGGAGCGTGCAGGCTTACGGACCTAGAGGTTTAAAGGCTTTGGGGCGTGCAGGCTCAGAGGCTGAAGGGCTTGGAAGCTTACAGGCTTAGAGGCTTAGGGGCGTGGCGGCTGGAAGACTTAAAGGCTTTGGGGTGTGCAGGCTCAGTGGCTGAAAGGCTTAGAAGCTTACAGGGCTTGGAGGCTTAAGCCTCTAAGTCTCCAAGTCTGTCAGCTTCTAAGCCTTTCAGCCGCTAAGCCTGCACGCCCCAAAGCCTTTAAACCTCTAGGTCCGTAAACCTGCACGCTCCGAAGCCTCTAAAGGGGCGTGGCGGCTGGAAGGCTTAGAGGCTTAGAGGCCTAGAGGCTTAGGAGCGCGCAGGCTTACGGACCTAGAGGTTTAAAGGCTTTGGGGCGTGCAGGCTCAGCGGCTAAGAGGCTTAGAAGCTGACAGGCTTGGAGACTTAGAGGCTTAGGGGCGTGGCGGCTGGAAGACTTAGAGGCTTAGAGGCTTAGGAGCGTGGAGGCTGGATGGCTTAATTAGAGGCTTAGAGGCTTAGAGGCTTAGAGGCTTAGAGGCTTAGAGGCTTAGGAGCGTGCAGGCTTAAAGGACCTAGAGGTTGAAAGGCTTTGGGGCGTGCAGGCTCAGTGGCTGAAAGGCTTAGAAGCTTACAGGGCTTAGAGGCTTAGAGGCTTAGGAGCGTGCAGGCTTACAGATCTAGAGGTTTAAAGGCTTTGGGGCGTGCGGCTGAAAGGCTTAGAAGCTGACAGGCTTGGAGACTTAGAGGCTTAGGGGCGTGGCGGCTGGAAGACTTAGAGGCTTGGAGGCTTAGAGGCTTAGGAGCGCGCAGGCTTAATTAGAGGCTTAGAGGCTTAGAGGCTTAGAGGCTTAGGAGCGTGCAGGCTTACGGACCTAGAGGTTGAAAGGCTTTGGGGCGTGCAGGCTCAGTGGCTGAAAGGCTTAGAAGCTTACAGGGCTGAGAGGCTTAGAGGCTTAGGAGCGTGCAGGCTTACAGACCTAGAGGTTTAAAGGCTTTGGGGCGTGCAGGCTCAGCGGCTGAAAGGCTTAGAAGCTGACAGGCTTGGAGACTTAGAGGCTTAGGGGCGTGGCGGCTGGAAGACTTAGAGGCTTAGAGGCTTAGAGGCTAGAGGCTTAGGAGAGGCGTTTGCAGGCTTACGGACCTAGAGGTTTAAAGGCTTTGGGGCGTGCAGGCTCAGCGGCTGAAAGGCTTAGAAGCTGACAGGCTTAGAGGCTTAGGGGCGTGGCGGCTGGAAGACTTAGAGGCTTAGAGGCTTAGGAGCGTGGAGGCTGGATGGCTTAATTAGAGGCTTAGAGGCTTAGAGGCTTAGAGGCTTAGAGGCTTTGGAGCGTGCAGGCTTACGGACAGATGGCAACGAAGTTAAGGGCGGCCGAGTGGCCTGCCCAAAAACATGGGGAGGTAGAACGCCGTCTCTGCCAATGGATATGGCACAAAGAGAGCAACTCCCAGACGATGGTGGGCAGCATGCGGAACACAAAGAAGTGCGGCACAACGAACAAGTTTGGAAGCATAGAAGCTTACAGACTTGGAGACTTCGAGGCTTAGGGGCGTGGCGGCTGGAAGACTTACAGGGCTTAGAGGCTTAGAGGCTCTGGAGGGAGATTAGACGGAAATCCGGTGGATTCCCGCTTAAACCTTTAGCACTTGGTCAGCCACTAAGCTCTAAGCGCCTTTGCCTCCAAGCGCCAAAGCCTCTAAGCGCCTGAGCCGCTAAGCGCCGAAGCTGCTAGGCGCCGAAGCCGCTGAGCGCCGAAGTAAGCGCCAAAGCCTCTGAGCGCCTAAGCCTCTAAGCGCCTTTGCCTCTAAGCGCCTAAGCCTCTAAGCGCCTAAGCCTCTAAGCGCCTAAGCGCTAAGCGCCTAAGCCTCTAAGCGCCTAAGCCTCTAGCGCCTTTGCCTCCAAGCGCCTAAGCCTCTAAGCGCCTAAGTCGCAAAGCGCCGAAGCTGCTAGGCGCCGAAGCCGCTGAGCGCCGAAGCCGCTAAGCGCCAAAGCCTCTGAGCGCCTAAGCCTCTAAGCGCCTAAGCCTCTAAGCGCCTAAGCCTCTAAGCGCCTAAACCTCTAAGCGCCTAAGCGCTAAGCGCCTAAGCCTCTAAGCGCCTAAGCCTCTAGCGCCTTTGCCTCCAAGCGCCTAAGCCGCTAAGCGCCGAAGCTGCTAGGCGCCGAAGCCGCTGAGCGCCGAAACCGCTAAGCGCCAAAGCCTCTGAGCGCCTAAGCCTCTAAGCCTCCAAACGCTTAGAGGCTTAGGGGCTTAGTGGCTCAGGGGCTTAGGGGCGTGGAGGCTGGAAGGCTTAGAGGCTTAGGGGCGTGGAGGCTGGAAGGCTTGGAGGCTTGGAGGCTTAGAGGCTTAGAGGCTTAGGGGCGTGGAGGCTGGAAGGCTTGGAGGCTTAGAGGCTTAGAGGCTTAGGAGCGCGCAGGCCTAGAGGCGCAAGGACTGCAAAGGCTTACAAGCTTAGAGGCTTAGAGGCTTAGAGGCTTAGAGGCTTGTGTGCTTCAAGGGGCTTAGAAGCTTAGAAGCGTGTGGCGAATTTCAGACCCCATTTCCCAATGCACTGAAATGATGCGCCTGTAAATACCATTAAACAATTGGTTCCCATGGTTTCTTAGGTGGTGCAGGATTTCGTCCATCCACAGCCGGGCTTGAACAAACCGGATCACCAGTATCACATTGATCACTCTCCCAACGTGGAAGCCACCGAGGAAACTGGTGAGAATTTCAGCCAGGCTCCAAACGGTGGGAGCGTGTTGTTCACTTCGGATGCATTGGGAGAAACATGCGACGAATCCAACCGTAAGGTAAGTTAGCCTTCCACAAGGGAATGGGCACCGTGTTCTCTCTTTCTTTCTTTCTGTTTTTTTCCGCGAGGTGTCAGGCTTCATATGGAAAACCCATAGACTGGTACCTCCTCAGCAGAGAGAAAGAATCATTAAGTTTCTGGGACACTTGATGCGTCAGCCATGTAGTTGTTTCTGTTGACAGCCATAGGAGCTCTACAAGTGTTTGTTTGAGGCTGCGCTTTTCTTTTTTGGTTGAAGCGGAAGCCCAAGAAAGCTAATGGTGTATCAGGGATCCCTCTCTTAGAAGCCAGGATTCATACTGTTGGACGAAATCCAATTCGCACCACCTAAGAAACCCTGGAATGATGGCTGAATTTCGTCCATCTACAGTACGAATAGGTGCCAGGGAGTCCTTCACCTCACTGATCCGTGAGGAACAAACTTCTCAGGGCTCGACATGGGCTATGTCCACGTTGAGCCGTTGAGGCGGTTCCTCTTTTTTACTCGATGCGTGTTCAAGCAGTTTCCCAACCCGGGCAAAGTTCCGAGCTGTTCGGTGGCAGCCCTTTTCACTTTGTTTGCTTGCGGTCCCACTCGAAATGATCCCCAAACCTCTACCATACTCAGCCTATCTTCTGGACCTTGTGTTTTGCGTCAAGTTTCTTTTTCGAGCAGCAACCAACAGTTAACTCCTTTTTTGCTGGGTGTAGGAACTCAACACCTGCTTCTCTTTTTCAACCCTTCTGGTTGCAACTGCTTGTGTCCCTTGCTGGTTCTCAGTCGGGAATCAAGGGTTTTGGGAATGAACTTGGGTCGAATTGCGGGAAACCACAAGTGGTTGATTTTGGATGACGTGAGAAGCAGCAAGCCAAATCACCCAAGGAACAATAGCAAGCCAAATCACCGGCCTGAAATGGGATCTTGGCACCCCACCTCTGGTGAACGCCTTACGGATGGTGTGGCAGAGAGAGAGAGAGCGAGAGAGAGAGAGCGAGAGAGAGGGAGAGAGAGAGAGAGAGACATATTTGCATGATAATTAAGGTGAACGACTAGCCTTAAACAGGGGAACAACAAGAGCAATGCACAAAACCCTACTGAGAAGCAGGAAGTTTGCTTGTGCCAGGGTTCCGGATATTTCTCCTTGTCGCTTTAAACATCACTTTTTGCTTGCCAATTCCAAGTGAGTTTCCTTTGGTGGAGTGATGTTTTAAGGGGAGATATGGGGGCTGTGTTTCGGGAGGAGGGTACCCTTTTTAAGTTGGCTAAAGGAAGCACAAGGAAAGCCCGCGCATTTCGGGGATCCGGAACCCTGTTTTGACACCCATTTGAGGGTTCCTCAAACCTAAGGGCCCTCTTTGTCTTTAAAGAGAAGCCTTCCCATCTTGGACCTTTCTCTGGTAAACCGAATTTGGGTTTGTGTTTTTGAGGGTGCATGTTTCAGGTTTCAACCGGAACCCAACAAACAAACCAAAACATATCCGGGATCCATTCCAATTGGTTGGGTGGTTTGGCGTTGGGATTCCCATGTACGCCCGCTCTTTCCCATGACAGGGACCGGTCCCTTTAAGAGGAAAACTGTCTTCCAAGGGGTTCTCCCTAAGGGTTGTTTCCCCATTTTTTCCAGGCATCCTTCTTTCCAGAAAACAAAAAAAACCCTGGGAAAACAGATCCGATGTTTGAAAAGAACGATGGTTGAAAAGAATGGAAGAGGAATCACCCTCTACGACTTTATGACTTTCTGGTGGCAAACAAGTTTGGACCTTTTTGGCCCGCCCACTCAAAAGCAATCTTAGGACACTGTGCTGGTGGCCGGGGGCCTGGTAGATTTGCTGCTCTCCATGGGGGGCGAGGGCCAGCAAGACATGGTGACCTTGCGCTTCGTGTCGGCCCTGCGCCTCGGATTTTTTTCCGGAAGCGTCGACTTGGAGACTTGGTCTCGTAAAAACAGGGTCAAGGGAGAGAAGCCGAGCCCAACTCAAATGAAATGACTTTTCACCTTTGCACCTTTTCAGTTTGTGCAGTCGAGCGAAAGCTCTGCTCTTATTTCAGGTTTTGGACTGGAAGTGGAACAACATTGCAGACTTTGCTTCTATGTCTTGAGGTCTTGTCAACCCAATTTGTCTATAATATATATATATATATGGTAGAGGTCTGGCACCCCCCCCCCTCCCCCGCCATGGTCATGGTAGCCTTAAATAGGGCCCCACCCCCTCCTCCCCCTGTGGGCCCGCTGGGTTTGCAGGTTATGGTCATCTTGCAAAAGGTCTCTCCCCTTCTGTGGGCACGCTGGTGGTTCCGGTTAGGGGCAAGGCTTCGAGAGTCGTACCCCGGTCGGCGAGCGGCCACCCCCCCCAAGTGGGGGGGGATACCATTGGGGTGGCCGCTCGCGGACCGGAACCATATATATATATATATAATATGTTTATGTGTGTGTATGTTGGGGTCAAAATGAATGGGTCAATCTTGCCAGGGCGTCCCGCTAAAGGTTGACGGAGTAGGAAAGTCGGGATTCGGATTGCCCCATTTTGAACAAAGCAGAAAGCTGAAAGCGAACACAGTCGATCCAGGCGAGCCACTGCATATAGATAATCAGGACAGGTACTATGTAAGTCTGGGTGATTGCAGGGTAACTTCCACTGGTTCAGAGACCATTTCAGGGATCCTGAAGCTGGGAGGTGAAGGGAAGGATTGGAATCCAATTGTGGCGGCGGTTAGACGGGGCCCCGCCCAAGCCGAATGCCAAGACCGCCCGGAGTTGCCAGGAATGCATCCATACCTCATTCTTCTATATATGGGGGGGCGGAAGGATGCGAATGCATACAGCTAGATGCTGAAAAGGGAGAGAACACAAAAAAGACAAGCGCGCGGTGAAAACGGTGCACCTGACAAGGTTTGGTCAGAATGTTCAGTAGTCTGTGGCCCTTGTGAGGAGGGACATGGGAGGGGAACATGTAGCGTCCAACCATGGCCCACATGGAATCAACAATCAGAACCATGATGACCCTTACTGCCGTCTCGTTCGATTGATTTCGAGTGCATGCCCCATGGTACATTATGCTTACTTTTCCCAAAAAGAAGCCAAAAGGCAACAAACGCTCTTTTTCTTCAGACCCCTTATGCTGGCACCCGTCAACCTTGCTACTTCACCTTGTTACTTCGCCACCTGAAAGGAAGCCAAAAAGGCAAAAGGGGATGGTACATGTTTGTTTTTCCAGGCCGGGAAACCACTCAGGAACACCATTAAACTACGGGGCTCCAAACCACCAATTGCAATAAAGCCGACTGATATGATACCCTCTTTCCAAGAGTCCTGGAAGCGGACAGAGGGTCTTCCAAACACCCTTTTGTCAGCTTCGGGTCTTGGGAGGCGGGCGGTTCCTTCGTCACGAGCCGCTTCTTTCACCCGCAAGGCTCGATCCGACTCGCGCCTCGCGCCTCGCGCCTCGCGCCTCTCGGCTTCCGCAGGAAGGCCTTCCGAGCCATCCGCATGGTGCGGAGCTTCCGGTTCTCCCCCGGCCTGCGGATGCTCGTGAAGGCCGGGCCCATGAACCTCCATTTGCTGAAATCAATATTTGTTATTTTCCCCTGTGGGTTTTAAAGGGAACCTATCACTACATGAAGTGTGTTTCTTCTTCTTTTTTTTTCCAGCGGTCTTAACCAAATGGAAGTGACGGAAGATGTTTTGCCTATTTTATACTTGGGTCGGCCGAGGGAAGTGGGTGGCCACCTGGCCCTTTACCCACTAATGACTGGGTTGACCCCACTCGAAGTGGGTTAGAACTCAGGTGGCTAACCACTTACTAACTTGGCCGAGCACCCAGCCGATTCGGGGTACAACGAGCGAAAGCCATGATAAAGGTCCTTTACTTGGATCCAATTCGTAATTTTAGCTTTAGGAATTGCAATAAAACTTGCAGATGGTGTTGGTTGCTGAAATGGTTATTTTTGTTTGGGCGGGAGGGGGGGGGGGATTTTGTAGTTGTTTGCTCCTTTTTTTGGGCGAGGGGGAGGGCGGGTCTCAGTGTCACGTTTGTCACCGGTGACAGCTGTGAGGTCTCAGCCAATCCTGTTTTGGCATGTTGGCAGGTTCCCTCTGCTTTCCGAAAACAATTCGCCTTGCAAAGTCCTCGCGCAACCCCCGCAGAGGTTCCGATCAAAGAGAGATTACCCGGCGATGCGATAATTCACATAGAGCCCACAGCGACCCTAAGGCGAAAGGCTCCTCTTAGTTTGTAGGGGACCCTTTATTCAAGCCCCTTGGGGCTTGACTCAGCTTTTGCTTCTTCTTCTTTTTTTCAGCATGCCGGCGCAGGGTGTCCTGTGGTTCGTTGCGCAGGGGCATATTTGTTCTCACCTTTCTTGGGTTTTCAATTTGCCGACACAAAAAGTCGACCTTCTTACATCTTAACTTCTCCTGTGTTGGTTGGTCTACGTTTGGGCTGATTTCAGGGTTCATTTCTGCATGACGCGCTTTTGTTGATCAAGAATGGGTTTGGAGGGTTGTGACACAGCTCTTGAGCCTAAAGGGAGCCCAGTGCCCAGGTCATTCTTTGGACCATGTAAAGGTCATCTCCTTCCCATGTCTCTTGGGAGTCCTTGAAAACATGATCCAATGGTCCGGCAACCAGCGGAAAGGGATTCGGATTCCACCCTTTGCAGAGGGCGCCTGCCATGTCTTGGTTGTCAGTCGGGCGCCCTTTGCAAACAGCACCCTTCATCAGAGAAAGGGCAGGGAGGCAGAGCGAGGGAGGATTTTCGGCATAGACCCGTCCCTTTTGTCGCCTTCCTGTATCCCTACTTAGTTCTCCAAGTTGTTTCTCACAAATTGGTCTCACGGTTCGGGCAAGCCTTAGTTGTTTTGTTGGCGCCTTTCAAATTGGTGGATTCCCATGCCCCGACATGAACGATTGCTACGCCAGGCCTGTCAATGTTGCCTACCCTCCTTGTGCTGGTCAATGCTGCTGCTGGCGGTTTTTATGTGCATGGGCGCTTTGATCATGGGAGCCTTGGCCCGTGCTAGCTCGGGCTTCCTCTTGGTGTCACTTGAGCCGGGGCCTATTGGCTCTCGAAAGTTTACTCCCTGAGTCCCTGCGCAAACATCAACCTGGGATTTCCTTTGCGGCCTTGGCCCAAGGAGTTTTCAGGCTCCCCGCGTTTGGTGTGAACTCATCTAGTCCAAGTCCACCAACAGCATGGCAAACGCCTATGAACGAATCCACTCCGCTTTTGTCAGTCTCCATTGAGCTGCCCGAAACCTCGAGCCGTGCATGAAAGGCTGGTGAACTCCTTTTGACCCGTTGTTCAAGCCCGAGCCTCAAGATCCTTGGTGGTTGTCTTTGGTGCATTTTGCTTGGATGTTAGGACTTTGACTTGTTGCCAACTAATGGGTTTTCCATTAAACTACTAACAGTTAGACTTGTAGCAGGGGAGCAGAATGCAAAGTGGGCGGGTAGCAACAAAAAGAAGGCCTTTTCTTTCCTAGCCGTGCACACCGGGCCTCGAAGAGGATTTGCTTGAGGCGTCCAACAATTATTTTTCCCTGGAACTTGTTCCCGGGCGTTTCACGATGTAAGGCGTGTTTGGGCGATTTAGGCGTTTTGCGTGGGATGTGCGCTTTTGTGCGGTTGTTGGGGGCATTTGTCCTTGCTTGGGCGTTTGCGGGAATTTGCTGGCGTGTGCGTTGCAAAATGAGGCACAAGCAGAAACTACGAGAAAAAGTACTCGTTGGAATGTCCGAGTCTGCGTCATTCTGCATCATTCCGCTCCATTCCTACCTCGTTACACACCCAGCCAATCGCATCCGCGATCCTTTTTTTGCATCGTCACCTGGTTGGGCTGAGTTGCGACCTTCGAGCTGCGAAAGTATCAAGCCTCGTTTTCCCACTGCGTACGTATAGTAACGAGGGCTTCGACGCATACCTTTGCAGCAGGCCTGGTGCTGAGTCGCATGGCGTGCCCTCAGGAAAGTTACCCTGTTTCGACATTGTTGATGCGCAAGCTTGGGGGGGCCACGGGCGATGCGTGCGTAGCGGACTTGTCCAAAGAAGGCTGGTGAACAAGTCGGCCTTCCCGCAAGGAAAGCACATATTATTATTATGTATGTTTGTCACGGCTACTCCTAGGACCCTGTTTTTTTCCTGGGCAACTGGTTTGTTGCCGCCAGA